CATACGGGCGCAACACAAACAAAGTAAACATACCAACGCGGTACAGTTCGTGCGCACGCACCAATTGCGTGGCTGCCAACTTCCCGACACAATTAGCTGGTTCGTGGGACCGCTGGTGAACACTGTATGTTAAATAAATATCCTTTGTGCCAAGGCACACGTGCGTATAGGTGTTTGAGCCGCTCTACCGGCTACAGACGCGCAGTGCACACTTGAAGTAACTAACAAAACATGAATAACCTCTTTCTCTTTAAATATGATTTCAAAGTATTTATTGATGTACCTCGATTAACTTACTTACCTCGGCAACACTCAACAGTAACAATATATAGCGCGCACCAGATATTAAATACACTATCTTTGCAAAACCTAGAGCTAATAGTTTGGTTTTCGTAAAATGGTACTATCACATGATATTAAAGATTATTATTATTATTGTCAAAGATACATAAAAGGACACGGGCTTAGACTTTTTAACCTAAAAGGAATAGGGATAAACCTTAACGTTAGCCAAAACCTAGTAGGTATAGAATGGATGCTTATCATATTCATGTTTCTGCAGAGCACAAGAAGTATGGCCATTCTTAACTCCAGGCAAGAAAATCAAGCAGATTCAAAGGTTTTTTTTTACTTTCTCAGCCAACATATAAATCAGCACATCTGATGCACTGACTAGGCATTACACAAACGGACAGCTAGAACAGACAATAACTTGTCTATAAACTTAAATAAAGAGTTTTATTTTCACCTTCAAGAAAAAAGCGTATTCCTTTCTAAAAGGCCGGCAACGTGTTTGTAACTCCTGAGTTGCAGACGTTCATGGGTGGCGATGGTCACTTTCCAAAAAAAAAAAAAAAATAGTTATCTTAAAGATGTTTAGTGTTTTGTTACGTTTATAAGGCTTAATTACGAAAATGATCGTTTACATTTTTTCATATACGTTTTGCGTTTACCTCAGAGGCATATTATTTTTCAAATTTTCCAAAAAACGCAACAGTAACAAACATCTCTTGACTATTCTTTTTTTAAATTATAAATATTACCCGAGGAACCCACAGCATGTATTTATCATACATGCTGTGGGTGATAGGTGGGTAATTATACTTACATAATGTTAGGTCCTTAACTTTTCCACTTTAGTGATTTTTCTGTCGTCAAAAAACTTGATGGGTCAGTAACTGCTGTTATTTTAAACAGTTAAATTGCCTTAGACGCGCTTTTCAACGATGTGATTGTTTAGGAGGGCTCATATATTTAAACTGAGCCGCACCTTTCTTAGAATGTACGTAGGAGTTGATCCAAGTGTCTAGCTATCTACAAATCGAAATGTCAGGATGCAAACAGGTCGATTACTACAGAAAAATAAAGAAAGATGAAAAAAATAACATTACTCACACTGTAATAGAGTGGTGGAGTATTGCGTGGGGATGGTTTTTTCAGAACTCCGATATTGCCTAGTACCCGGGTTGTCTGACGGCAGTTGCTCCGCGTAAAATATCAAAGTTCAGCCGTATCGTAGTAGACGTAATCGTAGCCGATCCCAACCTAGTTTGGAAAAAGGGCTCGGAGAATCCGAATAATCTATGTATGGGTTGACAGCCTGTTTTTTAACGCGCGAAAACCTCCTCGAGCGGTTTGCGGGGCGGCGTGTCTGAATTGAACCGACAAAAACCATAATGTCTGCAACTCTGTACCTGAATAGGAGGGATCCGGGAAGAGCTATTATTACGACACACGGACCCTTCCTAGCGCCTGCCCGCAGTAGCAGTTGGGGGTAAATTCTCTATTTAGGCGACGTCCGGCACACACGGACGTCACCGATAGCCAAGAGCCTCGACTAACGCTTCAAGACTTACGTTAGACAGCTGAAACAAGTGTCTGATGTAAAACGCAGTTCTGTATGACATGGCCCGTTAAGTGAGGTTCTTTGGAGCACCCAACCACCGGTGGTCGGGTGCTCCTCTTGGTCATGTCAGGCCCGGTAGTTTTTTTATATTCTTAAATATGTATATTTTTAATTAATTAAATTTAAAAAAATTTAATTAACATGTTTAAAAAAAAATAAACAGAATAAAAATATCAATTTTTTTGTTTAAAAATGTTTCGTTCAATAAGGTATTTTTGATAGATTGGTGACTAATTCAGCCCCGCACTATAGTACACAAAATTTAATTGAATTTAATTATTAAACTAATGTTAAAAAGAATGTAACTACGAGTATGTAGAACACAAATATACTTAATCACGTGATGCTCTTAGCACAAGCGCCGGTGCTCCTTGTTCTTAAATTAAAAATACTTGTCCAACAGCACCTCATCCAGTCAATGAAAAGGAATTACATAATATCTTGCTCTGCTCCTATTGTCGTTACATAATTTTAGTATATTATGCGATACAAGGATATTATGGGAGGACTACGGAAGTGATTGGTCACGGTAACTACTCTTTAGTGGGGCTCATAGCTAATCTTTTTATCGACAAGACATCAAGTCTTAGGTGTTGCAAGTAATTAGCCTAGTTTAAATAGTAGTATTTGGTAGGTTCTTAGAGGAGCAACAGAAACAAGCTCAAACGATCAGCGCTTTTAAAGTATAAAAGTAGTCCGGATATTATTTTTTGTGTCTCAAAACACTTAAGTGTACGACAAGACAGAACCAGAATACCTAAAATAAACCCGCCTGGATGTTTGAATGTTCGTAATCTATCTGACATTACAAAGTACGTAAGCTGCGCAGTTGAGTTGAGCCAAACGAACCATCTGGCGCAGTGCGCCGCTACTTACTGATTTGAACTATTATTACTGAACTCGAATTAACGTTGTTGTTTGGGTGCGTGTTCCTTCCTTCCCATGGTGCTCCCGAAGCCCTCGTAGTGGTACACAATCATGATTTTCTGTCTGCCAAAACATTCTTTGCCCAATCATTAACCACGACATGTGGTAGGTATATTATATTTAGCGGTATAAGTGCTTATCTTCAACCAGCCTTTCTTGCTTTCTTTAGTGTTAAACGTGTTCCTACGAAGATAATGAACGATTGATATACCTACATTGGTAGAGAGTTGCATATAGCTGGCAGCTCACGCCACGTTATTATGAATGAGTGAGCTGCAGTGTCGGAGGTCTGTGCCTGACCCCAGATAGCGAGGCTATCTGCCTGTAGCAGCACTGTGTAGGTACACTGTACGTCCCCAACACGTCTATGTTGCTTTCCATTTATCTTACATTCAAAACTTAACTAGGAGCTTATCAGGGGTCACAGCTTCAGACCTTAACATTTCACGTTTATTTTTAATGCAAAAACATCTCATTGTACGAGTGGGTGAGAGAATAAATTTACTCATTTGTTATACACTAGCAGACCCGCAGAACTTCGTCTGATTCTCGCAATACGAATAAATTTTCCCCGTTTTCGCAACATTTTTCATTGATACTCAGCTCCTTGATAAAAGGGCTATCCAACACTAAGAATTTTTAAATCGAACCAGTAGTTCCTGAGATAACCCCGAACATACAAACTCACAAACTTTACTTATTTATAATATTAATATAGATAAAGAGTATTTACTGTGAGTTTAAAAATGCTACTATCAAAAATAACGAAGTTTCATATTTCAACCCCTATTTTACACCAATTTAAAAAATCTTTCTTAATGCATACCTACGTCCCCTAAGGAGCAGTTAGTGCAAAGTCTAATGTTTCTACACACAGCGGTTTCAGGTGTGCGTTGATCGATCAGTCAGTGAATCACATTTTTTCCTCAGATAGGTAAAGATAAAGACTAGCCGATCTTACTATTTCATTCATTCATCATATTCAGCTCGACCTCTTCTTCTTTTGCATTCTGTTCCTGAACATTTAACTGATCATACGATCCATCTCACTCTTAAAATTTTAAAATAAACCAACAAAATTTTAAAAATGCGTACTAAATATAATGTCACATACATAAACCCATCGTTTACTACCCCTATACACATTATATATAATTATATATTTTTATAGTTTTATAAAATACATATCTATTGTTATTTTGGCTATAACACTTTTTGTTCTGTGTGGAAATCCCCTCGGATACCACCCACCGGTGCGTGGTTATGTCGCACTCCAAACGACTAAAAAACCGCACGCCGCCCGTCTCGGGTACCAGTAGCCAGGGAACCAGATATACCATAAAAAGGAAATAGCTGGTGCAGTGGCGATACCAACTAATAACAATATTAGATGAAAAATGATAGGTCATCAAAGTAAATAATATCTTTTGTACATAGTTAATTGGAAAACGTATTCTTCCTCTTCTTTATCCGAGAAGTTTTCACCAACAACGTTGGGATCGGCTAAAAGTCTACTATGATACGACTGAACTTTTCTTACTCATCATCACATCACACACATCCATCCTTTAATAGTCTACTGCTGGACATAGGCCTCTCCTTAGAAAAGAGGTCTTGGCTTGCTATACCACACTGGTCAGACGGGTTGGTATAGGGTTTGTTTCAAGTTTTGCTCCCTCAGTCGGCTCTTACGACACCCACGGGATGAATAGGGGTGGTGACACACCGTCTTCTTAATCCGTCACCAAACGGATCTGTTTGTCGGTTGTCTATAATGAAGGAATCACTGAAACGTACAGATAGTGCTGTCGATACGCTACACACATTCTTCAAAACCTGGTAGTAGTGTCAATTAATAACAGTACACAAACACGTCGAGAAAAATAAAATAAGTTACTGATAAATGATTTGTTTCTTTCGTCATTAAGATGTTTTGTCTTCTGAGCAATTAGAACTGACCTTGAACTAGCTAGTTAACAAATAATTGAGCTAATAATGTTAACTGACATTCTATTCAATTGTGACAAATGTAATTGGAAGCTGACACTTCAGATAATTTGAATTTAAGCGTCTGTCTGACTTATTTTTCTTCCAAAGTCGTACATTATTTTGAAAATATTCTTTTATATCAAATTATTAAGTTCTCAAACAATAAAAACCCTCTACAATGACTATGGAGAATTTTGCTGTTTTACCCGACTGTGAAATAAAGATTTATTCGATACGTACACAAAGGACAGCAAATCAAGAATTACAAAGTTGTTTGCACTACAGTTAGTAGTTAAACACGGTCATAAATCTGCAGTCCAATTACAACTGTAGGTACACCACGTTCTAAGAAATAACATTTGCTTCATTGTGTAGATATGCAGATCAAATCGGATACCGATTTTAGTTTACGTAACAAAATAACGTTAAAAAAATAACGGAGAGAGATAAAGTAACAAAAAAATTTGATTAACCATTTAAAATTGACTGATCTAGTTTTTCTTTGAAAAGATTAAAACTTTTATGAAATATGCCAATGATCTAGTAAAATATGTGCGTGATGCATACTACATACTTACAATAAAAGAATGAAAAAACAACTATGGAGTTCTTTGGGAACATGTTACTTTTCCTTTTGCGAGACTCATTTGTTTTTTCATTGTGACGTCCTTTCGAAAATTGTGTGTCTCTACCAAAATTAATTTAACTCGTAAACATTTTTGTTCAATGATTTTTCATGATTTTCGTTGTGATTTAATTCAACAAAAGAGTTGCCAGAGACTTCAATTGGCATTTGGTGATGAAGCACCATGTTGCAGCTCTGTGTATTCGTGGTTTGGAGAATTTAAACGTGGACGTGATCATCTCCACGACGAGGTACGTGAAGGTCGGCCGGCGACTGCGATTATACACTCTAATATTAACACCGCTAATATTTACGACAATACTTGCCAGCAAATTTGTGCTTGGTTAGGCAAATTTCCTGTATGGGACTTACAAACATCCATCGAACGGACACAAAGAATTTCCAGACTCAGCTCAACAATTTGTGTAGCACACAAAGTGTTGTCCCATGTAGGCGTCGAAGCCACAACACTCTGCGCAGTAGGAAGCGGCGAGCTGACCGCTTGAACCACTACACCATCCGTGAAGTCTTGGATAAAGTTGGCTGATAACACGTATTTTGTTTACTGTTGTCTCCCCCTAATCGTTTTATTTAATTAGACTGATGACTTTTTGGCCCCGGGAGCGCCCCCTCTCGTTGATACTAATCATTGTGAGAGGCCGTTAACCTCTACTCAATATGTATGTAAAATGTATGTATAAAATAAAATAATGTACGGACTGATGACATTTTTCACACTAAACACAGACTACTCGTTTTTGAGAGAAGGTAGGCAAGCGCGGGAAATTGGCTCGATTGCAGACGTCTTTAGCCCTGTACAAGATTAAATAATCTTCTATGGAACTAATGATATAGAGGCAAACGAGCAGACGGGTCACCTAATGGTAAGTGATTACGTCGGTCATGTACGACTCAAGAGTCAATATCTCAGGTAAGCTCTCTGACTCGGTCCAAAGCAACTTTTTTCTGTGAGGAAGTGGTGTCACTCCAGTCGAGCAAGCCCGTGTCACTTGACACAGTTGTATCTAACACTGAGGATTGTTGATGAGGGACATGATGTCGTTGCAGTGGACGGTGCCGTGTCGTGCTCCGACGAGGAGTGGGCCTGCGCCGACGCGCTGCGCTGCGTGCCGCGCGCGTGGCGCTGCGACGGCCGAGCTCATTGCGCCGACGCCTCCGACGAGTTGGACTGCAACCGTAACTTTCAATATTACTTATTTATGAATCATAATTACTAAGTAGACTTACCTAAGTCTCTAAAGGGACACAGAGCGATATATATTTAAAAGTCGTCTATGATAAAAGTAAGGTGCAATGGTATCTAGCTCCGGAAGTTTGCGATTGTAATCGATGACGGTGCAGCGAGCACCGTTTGCCGATTTATTTAGGTAGGATCGTTGGTATACGATTGTTCACTCTTGGAGAGAGAATTCAAATGCTAACTACACAGTTGACGATGAGAGGTGTGGTGATAAACTGTTCCAAAGTCTGCTCCAAAGCCCGCTACAATGTTTTGGCCTACTATACCACGCTGGCCACACGGGTTGGTATAGGGTTTGGTCCTATTGAGGAAGCCGGGACGGCCTGCCGATTCGGTCGCGGCCTATAGGCCCATCGTGCTGCTGGACGAGGCGGGCAAATTGTTTGAGAGGGTTCTTTCTGCCCGCATCGTCCGGCACCTTTGCGAGGTGGGCCCCGATCTGTCGGACGCCCAATTTGGTTTTCGGGCGGGGCGTTCGACAGTCGACGCTGTGTTGCGCCTGAGGTGTCATTGGACATCGCCAACGCATTCAATAGTCTGCCATTCAGCTGCATCAGGGAAGCACTCCACTATCATGGGGTGCCAAAGTACCTGAGGCGGCTAGTGGCAGACTACTTAGAGGAGCGTACCGTCGTGTACGAGGACCGAGAAGGTAATTTGAGGAGTCGGCCCATGTCGTGCGGTGTTCCACAGGGGTCTGTTCTTGGACCCCTCTTGTGGAACATAGGGTACGACTGGGCCCTTCGCGCCGATTTCCCCCCCGGGCTGGGTGTAATCTGTTACGCAGACGATACCCTGGTGACAGCCCGGGGGGCAAACTTCCAAGAGGCGGCGCGCCTGGCCACAGGGGGAGTCTCCCTGGTGGTCGGGCGCATTGAGGCGCTGGGCTTACGGGTGGCCCTAGATAAGACGGAGGCCCTGTTATTTCATGGGCCCCGTCGTGGTCCACCCCCTGGCGCCTCCATCGTGGTCAACTCGGTCCTCGTACCGGTTCGGGCCCAGATGAAATATCTGGGCCTGATCCTCGACGGGAGGTGGCTCTTCGACGAGCACTTCCGACAGCTTGCTCCAAAGCTGGTCGGCGCTGCGTCTGCCCTAGGGCGACTCTTGCCCAATATGGGTGGACCCAGCGTCGCGACAAGACGGCTGTACACGGGGGTTGTCCGGTCAATGGCACTGTACGGTGCACCGGTGTGGGCGGCGGCTCTGACCGCCCAGAATAGGGTACGCCTCTGGCGCCCTCAGAGGGTAATGGCGGTCAGAGCCATACGCGGTTACCGCACCGTGTCGACGGAGGTGGCATGCGCGTTGGCCGGAACTCCCCCGTGGGATTTGGAGGCGGAAGTGCTCGCCGAAGTTTATCGGCGAGTGGCTGACTTCCGGGCGGAGAGCGGATTTCGCCCTCCGCCCGAGGATGTGCGCGAGTGGCGCGAAGCCGCTCGCCGAGCCACGATGGCTCGTTGGTCGTTCCGGCTGGAGACTCCACGCGCTGGCTTCGCCGCCGTGGAGGCTCTCCAGCCGGTCATCGCCGAGTGGGCAGGGCGGCAGCACGGGACCCTTTCCTTCCGGCTGACGCAGGTGCTTTCCGGGCATGGTTGCTTCGGAAAGTACCTGCACACGGTCGCTAGGAGGGAACTGAGTCCCGCCTGCCACCACTGCGACTGCAGTGAGGACTCGGCCCAGCACACGCTGGCGGTCTGCCCCGCATGGGCGGCGCAGCGCCGGGCCCTCACTGCAGTCATCGGAGTGGATCTCTCGCTACCGGCCGTAGTACGCTCCATGGCCGGTAGCGACAGTTGTTTTACCGCGGTCGCAACCTTCTGCGAGGTAGTAATCTCGCGGAAGGAGGCGGCGGAGAGGGCCCGGGAGGACGACCTCCACTCGGACCCGATCCGCCGCCGGCGAACCGGGCGGCGGAGGCCCGCCTACCACAGCCTCATGCCGCCCTGAGTGTGGCCGCGGGTGGACGGGGTGGGTTTCCCCTCCACCCGCATTAGTTGGCCAGCCGCGAGGGGGCGGCGTCCGCGTGTGCCGGACGTCGCCTAAAGAGAGGAAAAATATACTGAGACGGAGCCCGCACCAGGAGCGGGCTGGCGCTAGGAGGGGTCCGGATGTCTTAACAACAGCTGTTCCCGGATCCCTCCTGTTACAGGCGCAGAGTGGCACACCGTGTGGTTTTAGTCGGTCCGAGTCCGACACACCACCCCGCCGCAAACCCCGGAGGGGTGACGGTCCGAGGGGATTTCCACACGTAAAAAAAAAAAAAAAAAAAAGGGTTTGTGTCAAGTTTTCCTACTTTTTGAGGTGCTGGTGGAGGTATTCTTAATCCGTCACTACACGGTATATTATCATACCTGAACTACTTTAGGGCACTATTGTTGCTGTTGTGGTGTCACACTGCACTATTTGAACTCTATTGTTGATGGAACAGCTTCGGACAAGCAGTGCCACGGCGATGAGTTCCGGTGCGCCGTGAACAACCTGTGCCTGGCGCGTTCATGGCGCTGCGATGGCGACCCTGACTGTGGCCAAAACGACCTTTCCGACGAGGACCCCTACATCTGTACGTACCTACTCAAATATTGACCTAAATTCCACTTATGACAACCATCCACATTGCTGGTAGCCGTATCACGTCTTTGTAATAAGTTTTTGACTGCACGAATTCCGTAGTGGTTTAAGTGGTCCCCTTGCCGTTTCCTACTGCGCTAAGTGTTGTGGGTTCGATCCCCACATTGGACAGCACTTTGTGTGATCCAAAAATTGTTGAGTCTGATTACCCTTTGTGTTTCATGTATGTTTGTAAAGTCCCCCGCGACACAGGATTTATTCCTAGTGCGGGGGACGAGTTGTCTTTTTTAATTAAAAATAAAAATATAAAAAAAGTTTTGTTTTTCTCCAGGTCAAAAAGACTTCAAGTGTCCAGGTAATTGGGCAAGGTGTGCGACACCCATCGAGGGCCAGTTCACGTGCGCACCAGTGTACCACTTCTGTGACGGAGCGAGGCACTGTCCGGACGCTAGTGACGAGTGGGACATCTGTGACAACTGTACGTATATTGTGGCACTCGTCTGTCATTATATCTTTGGGTGCCCACTGGGTGTGTGGATCGTTCTTGAGGTAGGGGTTAGTTCTATCAGGATTAAAGTGCAAGAACTTGTGTGTGTTTTGAGAAAATTTTCAGATTGCCAAAAATATGGTGAGGTGTCCTGCAGTAGTGAACATCTATTGTTGTTACTCTAATTGAATGCAATGTATGTATGTACCAGTCACGGCGAGCTCTTGCGAGGCTCTGCACTGCGAGGTGGGCTGTCGGCCGACCCATAGCGGGCTGGCGTGCTACTGCCGCGAGGGCTACGAGCCTGATGACAAAGGACACTGTGTCGGTGAGTTTATCTACGATACATCTCGTACATTGAATTAAGAGATGTGAAAATAAGTAATATTATATGTGTACACATTTTAGTACTTTTTTTGGAATAGACACCATTAAAGTAATATCGTATTGGATCGCCTGATAATTTTGTAGGCTCTCCTGCCAGCGTTGAAAATAAAACATGGAACCGATTAAAAGTTGTTCTATACATCGGTTCCACAACCAGCTGTGACGACACGGCTCTCTGGAAAATACTCAATGATATATTGGAGGTGCTTCCTCAATCGGAAGAATCTGATTACGAAACTTGACCTTATTGTTGTCGTCTGTCACGTAACGACACCGTGTCGTGCAGTTAAGTGCATATGTCGCACAAATATGTTCTAGTTATAGTGTGGCGTCGTTGGTTTGAATTGTAAGTTGCCTGTTCCAGACACCGACGAGTGCCGGCTGGACGACATGTGCGCGCAGCTCTGCAACAACTCGGTGGGCTCGTACGCATGCGCCTGCGCCCCGGGGTATGCGCTGCACGAAGATAAACGCAACTGCATCGCTATTAATGGTAATGGTCCTACTGGTGCTCTATCACCTAGCCCTCAAGATATAATATATAAAATAGTTTAGACGTGGTAATTAACTAACTAAATATGTCAAAGCTTTGTGTGTATCATACTTACCTTTCTGTATACAATTCTTCTGAGCGTCTGTACAGGTTTTGATTGAACTTTTTGTGTGTTCAAGTTGAGAATCGTTTAGATTCACAATTCAGTCCACTACAAAAGGTGTTTTTTGGTTTAATACGTGTTTACAGGATAACGTCTGTTGGGTCCGCTAGTATATAAATAAGAATGCACACTAAACGCTGGTAAAAGGATTTATATGTTTTTTTCGGTATTGAAGTATGTCAAACACATTTCTACGTGTATATGATTTTATATGTTGGTGCGTATTGCTCAGAGCCTGCGGACGAGCCCTTGTCGTTGGTTGTGGTGACGCAAATGGACGTGCGGCGCGAGTGGCTGGACACGCCGCGTTCTCGCAACCGCACGCTGCACGCGCTCAACGTCAGGGCGGTCGACTTCCACTACACCAACCGGTCAGTGCGCATCACTCAACTAACTCATTTACGACTCATCGTGTTGTTTGCGCACACACACACACACACACACACACACACACACACACACACACACATCAACGTCCTATGGCAAAATATCTCTTCGTGCGTGAATAGACCAACCCTTTACTCATCGGTTTGGTGGCCGATGGGAATCTTAAATATGCACTATTTTTACAGAACGATATGCTACGTGCACCACAACATCAGCAAGTCTAGCATCGTGTGCGTGGACGCGGATGACTTCAGCAAGCGAACCTTTGTGGGCGCGCCTGACTTCTTCCCCGATGTCAGCGGTGAGTTCGCTTAAACTTTGAACTCGTCATTGAGATGCATTCGTTTTATTATTCTTAAATTGTGAGATATTATTAGATTATAATTTAAAAGAAAAATGATGACCGGTGTTAGTGTGTTCATAATATATTATATATTATTATGAATACACTAATACACTTACTCGTGTCGGTTCTGAAACCTAATTAGTAAAGCTTTAATTCTTCATCAACGGTTGTCAGTGTACCGTACGAGTATATTGAATATATATTTTGTGAAAACTCTTTACATACCTATTCTGAATGTAGGAACTATACTCTGCTAAGGTTTTGTCTAGCGTCACGAGCAAGCAGTAACGAGTATTTCATCTTGAACTAAATCAGCGATAATGTTTTGCAGCCGTGAGCCACCTGGCAATAGACTGGGTATCCAACAACTGGTACCTGGTGGACGGCGGCCGCGAGGCGCTGTACGCGTGCGAGGTGAGCCTGCGACACTGTCGGCTGCTCGTCGACTCCGCTCTAGCGAAAGTACACGGCTTCGCACTCGACCCTTCCGCGGGGTTAGTATGCGTCCGTTTCGCGTTTCTATCTCTCGAGATGTGTATGTCGTATTTCTGTTTTACTTAATTCTGTGACGCGTCTAAAGTAAGGCAATAAGATTCATCGCACTCACTGGTGTGTGCGGCCGCAGGTGGATGTTCTGGACGGTGTGGGGCGCGACGCCGCCGCGCGTAGAGCGCGCCGCGCTGGACGGCGCCGGCCGCGAGGCGCTGGCGACGCTGAAGCTGGTGTACCCCTCGGCTCTGACGCTGGACCTCGCCGCCAGGGTCGTGTACTGGGCTGACGCGTACCTCGACGCCGTGGAGCGAGTCGACTACGACGGAGCCAATAGACGCACCGTGCGAAAGGGTTATGCGGTGAGTGAGTCACTCGTGAGCTCGGGCCTCCCACCCTTCGGGGTAAGCAGAAGCGGTAGTGATCGTCCGGTGGATTAATAATTCGTCACTGGCCGCTGCATTTCGATATAGTGTCCCTCGACATATAATAAAAGGTGGTCACATTACAGACGCAGGAGCTGCAACAGATCTCGGTGCTGGAGGCGTCGCTGTACCTGCCCGTGTGGCGCAACTCGTCCGTGGCGGTGGTGTCGCGCTACGGGCGCGGTGCGGGCCCGCGCGCGGAGCTGCGGCTGGCGGCGCGACCGCTCGCGGCGCTGGTGTTCCACCGCCAGCGCCAGCCGCCGCTGCACCACCCCTGCGCCGTGCGCAACGGTGGCTGCCAGCACCTGTGCGTAACGGCCTACAGGAGCGGCAAGCCGCACGCCCATTGCATGTGTCGCCACGGGTATCGACTCGCCGGCCACGGAGACTGCGAGCGTTAGTTGTTTGTAGCGGTCACCCGCCTTATCTGCGACGGTCGCCTTTGTTATATTTTTAGGGTTATGTTTCGTCTCCTATGATATAGTTCGAACCTCGATAATCATCACGGTGTCGACAGTCTATCCACTTATTTTCGGATGTACACCCGTAGTGGACCGCCCGAGCGCTCTGAGACGGTCTACAAATATGAGATTCCTGCTGAAATGTGTGAAAGTGGTTAAAAATATAGGTAAATAATTTCTGTAACCGTTAGAAAGTTTTACATCCTTCAGCCGCTACTGCGCAAACATTCAAGTTACCTTGCATTAGCAATACCAATTAAAAACGTTTCAGAGCCGCTACATGCCCTACCTAGGGATGTAGAACTTAATATATAAATAATCTCTTATTGCTGTATTGTTACTTATGTTTGTACAACACATATAAATTACCCGTGGACCAATGGAGCACCAACAAACTCCTATCACACAAGCTCGCCTGGTGTAGAAGATAGTTTTATTTTCTAGTATGTATCCATTTGTGCAACCGTCCCATGCACAGAGTATAGTAATACTATTAGGTCCATGTGTATAATTAAATAAGGTAAATGACCGTCAAGTCAAAGTCAAATCATTATCTTTTTATTAGACGTCAAAACTATAGACTCGGTACATTTGTTTATGAAACATGTATAATCGCGTGACGTCACATCTAGCTATTGTCAGTCAAGTATTTGTATTTAATGTTGATTTGAAGAAATTAAATATATAAATGACTAGCTGACCCGCGCAACTTCGTCTGCGTCTCTCAATAGTAATAATTTTTCTCCGTTTTTTGAAACATTCTTCATTAGTGCTCCGCTCCTATTGGTCTTAGCGTGATGATATATAGCCTATAGCCTTCCTCGATAAACGGGCTATCTAACACTGAAAGAATTTTTCAAATCGGACCAGTAGTTCCTGAGATTAGCGCGTTCAAACAAACAAACAAACAAACAAACTCTTCAGCTTTATAATATTAGTATAGATAATAGAGGACAATTCAGGCTGTACTTTAAGTTGTTACATTTAATGATTCAGGCGAAATATATTTTTTAAACCTAGGAATCTAGTCTATTGTAAAATGAATAATTATTTGTACGAGACGGAAGATCGTGCGCTGAGATGTATCGTTACGTGCAGGTGTGGAGGTGGACAGTTACCTGGTGGTGGCGCGCGGGTCCCCGCCGCTGGTGGTGGCGCTGTCGCTGCGGGGCGCCGGGGCCGAGGGGGGCGAGGCCGTGGCGCCGGCCGCGCACGCCGCCCGCCCCACGGCCGCCGACGTGGACCTGGCCGCCGGTCACCTGTACTACTGCGACGTGCACAGGTGCGCATCACCAACGCTACTGGTGCCGTCACTCGATATCTTTCCTTACAAAATTACATTGAAATTGACTGAACAAGTTTGGCCATGTCAGTGTACGAGCCAATAATGCTCATACAGCTTTTTAAGTTTATTATTATACAGTACTTAATTATTTTATTCAGTCGTAACAACAACTCCGTCTCGCGTGTGTCAATATTTTATAACACAACGTACGACTCAGATTACTGAACATAACTTTTATTCATAAATAAAATTCACTCTTTCTTAAACTTAATACTGGTTTGGTGCGAACTATTTACCTACGATCACAACTACCAACTACCGGGGTACCGTTAACGACGAGATAACCCCAATCATCATCATGGTAAGTGACTACCGCCGCCAAGAGTCACAAGTGCGTTGGCATCCTTAGAGTCTCCCCCCCCCCCCCCCCTCTCCCGAGTCAGGGAGTCCGGTAACCTCACCCACTCGGTGAAAAGTAACGAAGAAATAGCAATACAATAACACCGGATTTCTGGGAGGGGTATCATCACTCCCGTCGAGCGCACAAATGTCGTGAAGCATGACTCCCCACCGATAGCTAAACATCGTAAACTATTTCTGCGATAACATTCGAAGGCGTCGCGTTTTGTGATTACTTTTGTTCTGATACATTATACTCGTTGTGGTACCCGGTAGACACGTAGAGGCACGCCGCAACCCATTGTACGCCTAGTATTTTTGTAGTCCAAAATTAAGTCAAGCAGGAAACTGTAAGGCTCTTCGAGACGGTTTATATGATGCGTGTGACGTGACGTCATCGAAAGTATGTTCTAAGAGGGCACGGTGGTGCCCGGCCTTACGTACTCGTACGTACATTAGCTATGTACATAAAGTGCTTTATGTGGTCTCAGGTACGAGATAGTGCGACAGAAGCTGGACGGCACGGGACGCGAGGTGTTCATCGGCGATGACGTGGACAACTGTGAGGGGCTCGCCGTCGACTGGCTCGGTGAGACGCGTTACCGACAACACGTTATTTACGTCCATTTGTTATGAAGCACAATAACCAGGGCTTTGAAATCTCATAAAAGAACACCCTTAGTATACTTCACGAGAGTAAACTAAGTGTATGTTCCCAACATGTGACTGCATAACTTCACTAAACCGTTTAAAAAGCGGCGCATACTCGTAATAATGTGTAAATGTGGTGGGGTGTGTCTAGGGAGGAACCTGTACTGGACGGACGACGCGTTGGGCCAGGTGTCGGTGGCGCGGCTGGACGACGCGCGCACCCGCCGCGTGCTGGTGCGCGAGCCGCACGACCAGCACTACCACCCGCGCTCCATCGTGCTCCACCCCGCCAACGGGTATCTATTTTTATTTTATTGCCTAACGTTCCAAGCGCAAGCACTGGTCGCGGTGACGACCAACTGGTTCTGTCGCTGAGTGACGACTATAGTCACCTAACAGTAATGCTATTCTGAAAGTACACCTGTGGTCTCAAGTCTCTCGCTGACTGTGCATTATAGCGAGGTGACATATGACATCACTGGATGTCATGCTTGCTGCAATTTTGTTACAACTGTTCTTTAAAAGTAGTGTTCAGTGAAGAAGACTGCTTAGAACGAAATTCAGTCCAGTGATTGGCGCCCGCTTATGTCGGTTTGGGAGATGTTTTGAGACAAGTACTTATAAATAAACGTACACGCTTCGCCTAAACAATCTATAAATTCAAAGTGATACTAATGCGAGGGCATCCAACTACACAGTACCTCTAGTCTAAGCAGTGTGCCACTCTGTCTAGCACCATGTACTGGTCGGTGTGGGCTTCGGTGCGGTCTGAGCGCGGGCGCATCGAGACGGCGCTGATGGACGGCTCCTCGCGCCGGGTGCTCCTCGACACGAAGCTGCACTGGCCCGGGGGGCTCGCGCTGTCCCCCACCTACGACGAGCTGTACTGGTGCGACACGTACCTCAACAAGATCGAGCGCCTCGCGCTGCGCACCGGGGAGAGGACGGTCCTCCTCGACGACACTACCTCCAATATACTCAAGCCGTATGGACTCGCACTTTATGAAGGTATGGCATCGCTTACATAATACCTTAAAAATAAATGTAGAAACTGTTGATCGTCTCCATGTCATCGAGCGGTAGCTATTCTACAAGTACTAAATTCACGCTCGCGTCTGATTCACCTTGCACCCGTACGTCAGTAACGTCGGTAACGTATCGCAGGGTGGGTGATATGGAGCGAGCACGGGACGGGCGCGGTGCGGCGCCGGGAGCCCGACGGCAACGTCACGGAGCTGTACCGCCTGCCGCCGCCGCTCTACGACCTCAAGCTCGTCTCGAACTCCAACGTGCGCGGTGAGCACTCTCGCTTAGCTCACATAGTCGTTCGTCGACTCGGACATCGCTTGAACGTATGATTGCGATCAGGCAACAACGCGTGCCGGTCGGTGCGAGGCGGCTGCGCGGAGCTGTGCCTGGCGGCGCCGCTGGGCGCGCGCACGTGCGCGTGCGCCGAGGGACGCGCGCCCGCGCCGCTCGACCCGACGCGCTGCGAGCCCGCCGCACAGCGCGCGTCGCCCGCCTGCCCCGCAGGGACCTTCGCTTGCAAGCACGGGTCAGTGTTCTCTATTTTCTACTTCATGAATATTCTATTTAATACTTCATGATTTAGTCTTCTAAATTGCATTAGCTTATTTTAAATTATGTGTTATTGTTAGATTACCCAGCTTCAAGGTACGTTTCACAGAGTAACTAAACAACCGTTAGCTCATAAAATTTATTTATTGTGTAGCTTACATACTACAGCCGGAGAATCTTAACACCGCGATTCAGCCGACCGGGACAACGACATCTATCGCGTGTTGCAAAAAATAGAAAATATTAACGTTCGATTGAACAGTTATTAAAATATTAATTCAGTTAAAATAGGAAGCTGATGCAAATTAGGAAAAGTGTAATTTCTTTTCTTTATCTCTAGATATTTAACTTTTGAAAAGAATGTTACCGAATTTTAAATACGGCATCTAAAAATCTGTGTTTTTTTTCTTAATTTTAAATGATCAAATTAAAGATAATTAACCTTAAGTAGAACCGATTCCATAAAAAATCGTTTTCGAAATAGCGTAGACTTCGTTTAAGAACCCCTCCTCCTTGAAAGTCGGTTAAAATCCTACTAATAATGAAAGATAGAATTATATTCCTTTATAAAAGTCATTTAAAGGCTTTGCACGGCATTGAAAACGAATAACACATTAAGCGGCAAACCAAAGATTTGCTTAAAAACATATAAAATAAAATAAAATAAAAAAGCCTTTTATTTCCAGTTTACAAACTAGCACATGCAATATTGTTTCTACCTTTATACATAGTTAGCAAGAAAATAAAGAGATTTATATCTATGTAGTCTAAATTTTCAAGTATATACATATCTAATTATTATGAATATAGAAATCAGTTTTAAGTAGGTAGGCACTAGTATTAAGTTTTTTTCAACTGGAACCCCCCTCAGGTAAAGGCCTCCTCCAAAGCTTGCCATTTCTCTCGGTCTTGGGCTATTTGTTGCCATTGTGGACCAGCTATTTTTTTAATGTCATCATCCCATCTAGTGAACGGTCTTCCTCTATAGCGTTTACCCGATGGGCCTTTCCATAACGTAACTGTTTTTGTCCATCTATGATCTTTAAGACGTGCTATATGGCCTGCCCATTTCCACTTTAACTTTTGGCTGTAACTGAGTGCATCTATTGCTTTTGTTCTTGATCTTATTTTAGTGTGCCTTATTTTTTGTACTCTCTTAATATTTAACATACTGCGTTCCATTCCTCGCTGACATGTGATTATTTTATTTTTTATTTTATTTGTAAACTTCCATGTTTGACATCCGTAAGTCAGACAAGGAATGAGACAACAGTCCATGATTCTTTTCTTTAACTTAACAGGCATTTCACTTTTAAATATCTCTTTGCAGCTCCAATACTTATTCCAAGTGTGTTTAACTCTTCTCTCCACTTCTAGTTCATTATTATCTCTGTTGAATCCAATTTTTTTTCCTAAATAAATATATTGATCCACAAAATCTAATGGGACATTTTCGATTGTTATTTTAGATTTTTTGAAGTTAGTCATGAGTTTGGTCTTTGTAATGTTCATTTCTAATCCTACTTGCTTGCCTGCCAAAAACATATATAAAGTACCAAAAATGCGTATTAGTGATACATGGGCTTTTCATTTCCTAAAATCATTAGATTTTTTTGTATCAAACCTCAGGTCTTTGTCACACTTCTTATTTACTCGAACTTCGGTGTTGGTCGGAACTTCGGTCGAAATCAAATTTAAAAATTCTAATTTATTTCCACAATATCCCTATTCTCTACACCAAGAATGCGAACGACCCGGAGCACGTCCATGGTCTATCTGTCGTACAACTCGTACGTATAAGAAGAGCAACATTATAAAAATGACAATAGTTATAGTAGTACTGTATTATTTCTACTACAGTAGTGGTAAATGATACTGGTAGTAGTAAATAGTTAATCGTCTTAACATATGAACTCGTCGGCGCAGGCGCTGTATCGACATGTTGTACGTGTGCGACGGAGACCTCGACTGTTCCGACGGCTCCGACGAAGACTCGCTGCCGACCGGACCCTGCGGTGAAGTATCTCCTACCGTTCGCTAATATCGGCGCCCGACTCCCTTCATATCGACACCGTAACCGACAACCTAACTATTACAGCGAACGTGACCTGCAACGAGGAGCAGTACACGCGCTGCGACAACAACAGATGTATCCTCAACAGCTGGATCTGCGACGCACAGAAAGGTACAGGTTCAGTTTTCCATACGCCTCTCTGGGCCGGAGCCGGCGGACTAAGTGTCGGGTGTGTTCGCCGCAGACTGCAACGACGGCAGCGACGAGACGGCGGAGGCGTGCGCGCGCACCACGTGCCGCGCGCAGCAGTTCCAGTGCGCCGCCTCGCGCCGCTGCATCCCCGACTGGTGGCGCTGCGACGGCGCGCCCGACTGCGGCCGCGACGACCTCAGCGACGAGCAGGACTGCGCCGGCACGCCCTGCTCCGGCCTCACCTTCGCGTGCGACAACGGCGCCTGCCTGCCCTGGGAGTTCTACTGCGACGGCCACGCCGACTGCGCCGACGCCAGCGACGAGCGTGCCTGCCGCGACGCCTCCTCAGCGGCGCCGCCCCTGCCGTCCCTCCCGCCCCGCAGGGACCACGCGTCAGTGCATACATACTTCTTCTCGCTCTCGTTGTCGGTATAAAATATCTGCACTGATGATCCCTAAGATCTTCCAAATGTTCAGAATGACTTCCGATACGATGAACTGTCGTTTACCCTTTTATCGAGCCAGTTCTAGCTTCCGGGTCAGAAATGGAAAAAATTGCAGTAGAACGCGTGGAAATGTTTGGTAAAAAAAAAACGTTAACGGTTAAACGTGAAATACATGTGTGGGTATGAATCGTATTAACGGGGTGGAAAATCATTTCGAATCTCCGGCTCCTTGGGGATGTAGGAGCCAAGAGTATGTGGTGTTTCACCCCGACGGCCGGACTCAGGCGCTCTACTCCGAGGAGGACCCGGACCATGTTATTTCAGGTCCTCCCGGATCGACGCCGCGCCTAGTAAAGCCTTATCCCGGAGAAGCCACGGGCTTCCCCCGCCTTTCGGCCCAATCCTTATAATATGTTGCGGCCGTTGTGTCGTCATCTGACCCGAACCACTGAGGGTCGTGACGGAGTACGGCTCCGCCACCACCGCTAGGACAACAGACCACTCAGGGAGTGTCTGCATCAGCAGACGCGGCAGTGATTTAGTTTGCCCCGCAAAACCTTTCCGGGGAGGCGTAAATTTTAGGCCTCCATTACCTCCTCTGCCGGACGAGTATCATGCTGGGACTGTCTTACGGCCGGCGAGCTCTTGCTGACATCAGTGCTCGCCAAGGCTGGGGCGGGGGCGGTCTTTAATCCCTTTTCTTTGTCTTCGGTGGGCAGCATTACTGCTCCCAGTTGATGGTCAAGGTCCGAGCAGACTAGGCACTTCTGCACTTTTGAGGTACATGTGCCTATACCACTTCACCCATAGCACCGGGTACCACGGTCGGTATGAAGAGACCTCTACTGAGTCAATTCATAGTAAATACGTAAACATCGTTTTCCAGACGCCCTCAGCACGACAACGGGGTATGCGAGGAACACGAGTTCCAGTGCAACAACACTGAATGTATTCGGAAGGTGAGGCCGCCTAACATATTGAGCGTTCTGAGTCCAGCGTCGCTAGCGGCTCTAACGCTCACTCTTTATTTGAGGGATTTATTTTATTTTTTAGGAATTTCGATGCGACGCACACGTCGACTGCCTGGACGGATCGGACGAGGTGGGCTGCGCGTCGGACACTATCCCTCGCACGAGCCCTCGCACGCCGGCCCCGAGCACTAGCACGGCCCGCGCCGAGGCGGCGTGCTCAGGCCCCGCCCTGCGCTGCGACAACGGCACCCGCTGCGTGCCGCTGCAGCAGCTGTGCGACGGCGTCGCCGACTGCGCCGACGGCGCCGACGAGGCGGACCGATGTGGTAAGTGCCTCGGTGTATCGCTTAAACAATCGTGTTACACGTGTGTTGTATGTGTATGTATATACATAATGTAGTAGTGTAAGTTAGTTGCACCATAGGTGTGATTCGTTTTAAAAAAATGTACTGTTCAAAAAAATCTTTTAAAAACCTGAGTACCTGAAAGTAAAGTTCACAGATTGTTGTTATCCCGTGTTGTTCACAGCGGTAATGGGAACCATCCGATGAACCATCGTCCTATAGCTGTTATAAACGCCTTACCCGGGTAGTGCGGCTAACAAATAAAAGACAGCTAATCATAAAAAAAAATCATTTCTGTGAACCTATACTGCAAATAAACGTATAGTCCTATCTACATGGTTGCAAGGCGATCGTCTCGCAATCCTGGCCTCCCCACGATTGCCCTAGAGGCGGGCATCGTGACCCACAGATTCATTAACTCTAAAAGCCCTAACTTCACAACCCTGGCCGTTTTGCTGCATGAGATCTGATAACTTTTTGACAGTGCGAACCGTATCGGGACCATATCTCGGCAACATTTTACATGAAAATGATTTTGGTCTGATTTACTTTATCGTGATGTAATTATAACCAAATGAAACAGCAATGGTCTGTAACTATTTTCCATAATCCAAGTTTTATAGTTTTATAGTTTTTCAGAATAAAAACGTCTAAGTCTCTTAACCCAATATCTCCACTAAAAATATTGACTTCTAATGTAGTCCATAATTATGTAATTGTTCTGCATTCTCGCAAAAAGGAAGCGTTTTGCGAATATGACAGTCGGTGTCAGATAGTTAGTAAATCAATAAGTTATTAAAAAAGTCAAGCAGTAATGTGAGGTGTCCGCGCGCGTGTGCAGGAGAGCCGATGTGTTCGCTGGCGGCGTGCTCGCACGGCTGCCACGCGGCGCCGGGCGGGCCGGTGTGCTCGTGCCCGGCGGAGCTGCAGCTGCTGCGCGACGGCGTCACGTGCGGCGCGCGCGCCTCCTGCGCCAGCTGGGGCGCGTGCTCACAGGGCTGCGTGCCGCACAAGCACCGCTACAAGTGCACCTGCGACCAGGGCTACCGCCTCGCCGACGACGGCTTCACCTGCAAGAGTACAGGTAGCACCCATCGAATCGATTAAAAAGAAAGGCACGACCGTGCCGTCCCTCTATCAAAGAATGAATTTTCAGGGACCGACATAGCATTGATTCCCAATGTTCATTACATTTAATTTAAACGTGTCAAGTGTCAAAAGTGAACGGACGTGTTATTTGTCACGCTGTTAGTTTTTCAAAATTTAATTGTTATCTGAAATTATTTTAATTCCTAAATGGGTACCAAATGTGCCGGCTGTGATGCCGAGATTAAGGATATATCGTTTATGGAATGTTCGCAAGAAATGTTGTTAATTATTTCTAATTAGGGTTCCTTATTTGTCATCTAGTCAGTCAGTCACCCATTATCATAATTCTACGGTACTCTTAACACAAACACAACTATTCAAATTTAAAACAAAGTTAGTGTTTAAATTAACCAGAACCTACAAAGAAACTAAAGCCAAGGCAAACCCTAACATAACTCACCATTTTAGTCTCGTTTCATTGTTTCCAGACGGCGTGACGCCTCTGTTGGTGTTCAGCAACCGACACGAGGTGCGCGGTGTGGAGCTGCCGGCGCTGACGGCGCGCGCGCTCATCTCCTCGCTCAAGAACACCATCGCGCTGGACTGGCGTCGCGACCCCGCCTCTGGGGCTGTGCAGCTCTATTGGACCGACGTCGTCGACGACAACATCTACCGCGGACTCATCGTCGGCAACGGTACGTCGCGCACCTATGTACTTGCGACACTCTTTCCACTCATAAAGAAAGACTATTGTTGTATCGATTTAAAAGCGTGTCAGCGAGTCTCTATCGACGGCTGCGTTTGCTTGTTAAAAAAACAACAAACTAAATACATGAATGCTTAGAAATGTTCTTATCTAGAGAATATTTTTTTAAATGTTTGATACCCAATGTGAAGGCATAATTATCATTAATATGTTTGTGTGAAACAGCGCTGAGCGGCATCGAAGCGGTGGTGCGGCAGGGCCTCTCCACAGCGGAGGGACTGGCGGTGGACTGGGTGGCCGGCAACCTCTACTGGGTCGAGAGTAGTCTGCATCAGATAGAGGTTTTTTTTTTCAAAAAGATTATTGTTTATTAATTGGTAATATATTTAATTACTGTTTTCTTGTAGCGATCTGTTTTGTAAAACTAACGAGTGAAAAGTGGCGGTCGCCATTAAGCACCAGTTAATAAAGTTTAGACTGAACCTTAAAGGTCGTGTGTGTACTGTGTGTTGTGTACTTGTGTATAAGGCGTGCGTGTGTACTGCGGCAGGTGGCGCGGCTGGACGGCCAGTACCGGCGCACGCTCATCGCGGGCGACATGGACAGCCCGCGGGCCATCGCGCTCGACCCCCGCGTAGGTACGTACTCGCATGTATACAATGACGTGAGCTAGGAAACGTATATCGATTAATTACCTAACTAACTACTCGTGTCAACCAACATTTATTTTTTTCCTTTTGTTAATTGTCATCCGTGAAACTTTTAAAATACTATCTTACTTTTAAATTGTCATACTTCTTTATCTTCTATCAACCACTACGCCATCCATCCATTTAAGTGTTATGGGTTCGATCCCCACATTGGACAGCATTTTGTATGATCCACAAATTGTTGTTCTGAGTTTAGGGCCCGTATTTTAAAAGACGTCTCAATTATCGGTTGAACTCTGATTGCCTGAAACTAGTTTTAGTGCCGATCAAAACTTTAGTATCGATCTTGTTATAGAACGCGTTTTAAGTTTTTCTCAGTTTAAACTAGTTTCACGTGTTGATTCGAAATTACAGTCTGTTCTCAATTACGTTTCCGCATGATCGACATTATTATTTCGAACATATGGCATACTGAAAGTTTCTGGATTCTGATAAATACATAAGACTAAGTAGATATAAGAGTTACGATACATAATTTTTTCAAAGTATGTTCCCTCGCAATTGATGCATTTTGCATTCGCTGAAACCACTGTACAAAGCAGTGCGACCACTCTTCCTTAGGGACCTCTTCAATGGCTTCATGGAATGCATTCACCGCCGATTCAGGGCTCGTAAAACGTGTGCCTCTAAGTTTGTATTTAATTTTTGGAAATAAAAAGAAGTCGCAGGGTGCGGGGCAATGGCTGTAAGGCGTAAGCAAGTGTGGGCATTAAAATAGGCTTCTGTTAGCTTAGCTTAGTATAAGTATTTGCTAGTGTCAATGTAAACATATCAACAAGCTTGTTGTTCATCCAAAATTAAATATAATAAATATTAAAATAAAATTTACTAGATGTAGGCTAGAACGGAACGTTCAAGACATTTATCAACACTCGTCATGTTGAATTTTTAAATAATGTTTTTATTTTTATAGTTCTAAAATTTATATTACTAGAAATTATACTTTTAACAAAAACCAAAAGGTTGTAGTGATTTTAATTACAACAGAAATTGTTTGTGTAAAATGTAAATTTCAGTGAATTTAGTATCAATTATGGTAAATTAAAGTGAATTGATCATGTATGACAAGTAATTCTTTCGAAAATGAAGTAAAGTAAATCTTACGTAATTATTCAGAAACAAATCATCGTAAAACACAATCATGTTGGGGGTAACATGCCCTAGAAATCACCGCGTGAGACTAGTTTCAGCTTGTCTCACGTAAACAAAGATCATCCGTCAAAATCTATGCCTGAGTTAAGATTTCAACTTAAACATCGTTCTAAAATAAGTTGAGTAAGCTCACTTGAGTAAGGATCGATGAATCCCGTTTTAAGTGACGTTCAATAATAAAATCTCTACTTAAAATTAGTTTTAAGACTAGATTCACGACTGAGACACCTTTTAAATGTGTTCTTTTAATGTAGGCGTATTTTATGTCCGTTTCATGAATTTTTGTAAAGTTGCTCCGACACAGGATACTAGTGCGGAAGTTGTCTTTAAAAAAAACTTCTAGGTCACGACACGAAAGGTTATCCATGGTTTGAAACCCTTGAGAGACTAATTATGTTATAAGTCCTAAATAAAATTTAAAAAATAAATTGCCGCGCGGAACACGGCCGATGTGCCAAATGTGTATAAACATTCTTAGCGCGGTTTACTTTGAAACTTCTCGGCGTGACGAATTCTACGTACATGTGAGGGTAAAAATGTTAAGCGGGCCGCATGTTGCTTCATGAATATTGTGTTATCGGTTTGGGGTGGCACAGGTTACCTGTTCTGGAGCGACTGGGAGCAGGCGGCGCCGCGCATCGAGCGCGCGTCGCTGGCGGGGCGGCGCCGCAGCGCCGTGGTGCGAGTGGACGCGCTGTCCGACGGCGCCTGGCCCAACGGCATCTCGCTCGACTACCGCGCGCGCAGGTCTCTCCTTCAAACTAACGATACTACTGAACGTTTGGACTTTTAGCCGCCGGGCTGTCGTTTCGATATTAAAGAATCCCGTGTGCAGGTTGTATTGGATCGACGCGCGCTCGGATTCGATTCATACGACGGACTACGACGGCGGCGATCACCGCGAAGTGCTGCGCGGTCACCCGTCTCTGTCGCATCCCTTCGCCATCACGGTGTTCGAGAGCCACGTGTACTGGACGGATTGGCGAAGCAACAGCGTCGTCAGAGCCACCAAGTGGAACGGTAACGCGCGGCAATAATGTGTCCCTATTTAGTGGTCACTCGCTCGGGTCTGGCACCAGCGCCGCCACCTCACGAACTAGACGTCCCTAATAAAGCGCGCCATTCCGCCCGACAGGCAGCGACGTGACGGTGGTCCAGCGCACGCTGACGCAGCCGTTCGACGTGAAGGTGGTGCACCCGAGCCGCCAGCCGCCCGCGGCGCACAACCCTTGCGGCGCGCGCAACGGCCTGTGCTCGCACCTCTGCCTCATCGACTCGCCCACCGAGCGCGTGTGCGCGTGTCCGCACGTCATGCGCCTCGCGCCCGACAACCGCACCTGCGAACGTACGGCGACTCTTTTTTTATGGCCTGGGGGGCAAAAGAGCAAACGAACAGACGATTCACCTGATGTTAAATGACCGATGGGAAGCGACCGCCGCCCACGAACACCTACCAACCAAAGATCTCTGGGAGGGTTGTCTTCAGATAATTTCACTCACTCGATGGAAATCGTCCATTATTTAATTACCGATTCCCGAGGAAAGATTTTGTCGATCGATTTCTCAAAACAGTTTATAAGATCTACATTATATCTACATGGAAACAGTACTTGTTTTCCTAATTAAATACCCAAAAAAAATGTGTAACCCTTATGACGAACTATATGCAAATATACGAATTTCAGCATTTTACCGATTAAACGATCAATATATAATTTACAAGTTAAAGGGAAACATGTATTCAGTGGCTCTAGAAACCATGTAAATATTTGTAATGTAACAGAAGGTCCCTCAAATTGTCAATGTTTTCGATCTCGGCATGTTACGACAAGAGTAGGGCTACAATAAGTATTAATTTCCCTGAGTGGCGAGTGCATTGAGTGGAATCTTATGGTGCTTGGGTGTGCGACGCAGCACACGAGAAGGTGCTGCTGATGGGGCGCGCGGGCGAGATCCGCGGCGTGGACCTGGACGCGCCGCTCGTGCACATGATCCCCACGGTGTCGGGCCCGCTGCTCACCGCGCCGCACAACATACATTTCGTAGCCGCCGATAGCGCCATCTACTGGGCCGACACAGAGGTCAGCATTTTATAATCTGTATGAGCTACCGATAATTTTAAATTTAATTTCATTTTACACGATTTATTACAACCCAACTTATTACCAAAACTAATAATAATAACTATTTACAAATACATTTTTAGGACGTTACTTTATCCCTTCGTTGAACACTCTGTTACTAAGAGCCACAGCGTGACTTTTTTTGCCCGTCTGCAGAGGACGGGTTATATTCTATATATTTGTTTTTGGTTGGTACGTGTAGACAAACGAAATAAAACGCACCGGGCTGACGGGTGGCGGGGTGCGCGTGGTGGCTGACAGCGGCGTGGAGCTGCCGCGGGGCTTCGCCGTGGACTGGGCCGCTCGGCTGCTGTATTACTCCAGCGGGTCGGCGCTTGTGGTGAGCAACCTCGCCGGCGAGTACACCGCCGTGCTACTGGACGGGCTGGACAACATGACGGCGCTCGCCGTGGACCCGCGCCGCGGCAAGCTCTACTGGGCACTGGCGCTGCGCAGCGAACGCATCGAAGTCGCGGACGGCGACGCCGGGAACCGCCGGACTCTCCTAGACGCTATCGCCGACCCGCTCCTCATGGGCATCTCCAGTTAGTATACGAATTACCCACTCTCAAGCTTCCTTCCTTGGTATGTGCCAAATGACGTCCGATATAACCAGAACCTTATAAATAATAAAAAAGAAAGTGCTGAGACATTTTACACATCAGGTAAAGAGTACCCGAACTAGGCCAGAATGTAATGTGGATACAAATAAACATACATTTTTTGTTTAGGACTATACTACATGCTTTATTTTAACCATAGACCCAGACAATTTGCGAACAGACTTATTCAGGTATATGAATATTGGGGCTGAGCAAAAATCAAATCGTGACACTTGTTTTCGACTCATTTTAAAAGCTTTACAATTAAAATATTAATTGTGTTCATCGCGTTTTGTACTTTAACTGTAACGAGCATAAATACACATATTGGCAGGCATGTGCGTGGACATAGACTCCAACCGCTTGTACTGGGTGAACACGGGCTCCGCCACCATGCAGTACCTGGACCTGGCCACCGAGAAGTTTTATACGGTAAGTAGAGTAGGTATGTCATGTCATGTAAGATAAATGTACAGACTGGAAAGAAGTTCAACGAGACTAAGCCACGTCAGTGTTTTATGAGGAGGTTCGGTAGTAGTTCTCAGTGTGACCATCTTTAACACGTTGCAAAGGTTTAGACGGGAGAGGTCCCCATTGTGGTGGTATGTACCACCACCATGGCTACCGTGTCATGATCGGGATTGGACCATGACTTGATTGGCCTGCAGCGTTTTAATTTTATAACATTGTGATGCGTGGAGCCCAGTTGGAGACGCAAGGGGCGGCGGCGCGGCCCGTGGCGCTGGAGGTGTACGGCGACTCCCTGCTCTGGGCTGACGGCAACGAGCACACCGTGCGCTCCTGCGACAAGCGCTCCTGCGCGCACGACACCAACAAACTGCTCAGGAATAATACCGGTCAGTGTCTCGTGCTTTTGTACGAGAATGACTACATTTATTTATTTGATTTACCAACGTTTGAATTCACTCTGACACATACAACACAGTCACATAAACAGCATACCTACACAAAATATAACACAGCTTGAAAAAAAAACACTTAATAACAAATTATTATTGTTACCAAACCTTTTACACTAAAATTAAGTAGAAAAATTATAATTAACTTAAACATAGCGATATTTACAACATTGTTCGTCAACGGATGCCGTATGCCTTCGTTGTGAGAAAGATGCTTAACAAGCGCAGATCGAAATCGACCGAGCGAATCAAAGTGAACATCGGTGAGGTCAGCAACCTGCAAAGTGTCGGTAGTGGGGAGCAAACATTTCACATATCTGTTCCTTTAGATGCCGATAATGTGCCATTGCTCATAGGGGTGAGATATGCACTCAAGCCGCCTCTTTTAGTCTTAAGGTAGGATCAGAAATATTTAGAAATTGTAATGATTTTATCCTTACGACGTTGTCCGCACATCTCTCACTCACTATATCCAGTTCGATTTGATCTCTAGGGTTTTTATAGATCTTGGATCGACACCTGAGTTTATAGGTTTCTTACGTATTTATTTGATTTGCTAAGTATTTGACAAAACAGAATGTTGCTATTGTGTTACTTGATCTATGACTTTAGAGTCTACACAGGAGACGATTTCAAATATTTTTAATTTTTTTATCTAATAAATATATTTGAGTTTGAGTTTGAAATGGTTGTTTGTATAATTTCGTGAAAGAATTTAAACATTTCGTTAACATTGCTTGGCCCTTTAAATAGTTCGTTCCAATTTAACTCCGAAAGATATTTGCATGCATCTGCTTTACGAAAGTTATACTCGATGAAGAGAAGTATGATGATGATGACATTATAAGGCAGTTTTAGCTCAGTCGTTAATGGGATGCTCACTTCTAGGGGTGGATGATGCTTGTCGATATTAGTTAAGACACTCACACATTCATCACGCAACATGATCGAAGATTTGTAAAAACTGAAGCCAAAACTCGCCCAGATTCATTAGTCACTTGATTTTGTTGAGTTAATTTGTTCAACTACATAATAAGTTAGTTCACTTTCAACGTTATAATTTTTTCTCATATTTTCAGAGAGTCAGAGTCAGGCAGAGTCCTGCTCGAGTAATCGAGGAAATCTGAATCGGAAAGAGACGTCTTAAAATAACTTATGCTTTTTAATGCTTTGCCACGATGAAGTTTTATTTAGTGACGAGTGTATAGTAACGTTGTCGTCCACCGTTCCGCAGAGGGCGTGATCTCACTGCGCGTGTACGACGCGCGCGTGCAGCGCGGCGTGACGGGCGCGTGCTCGCTGCGGCGCTCGGCGTGCGCGCAGCTGTGCGTGCCGGTGTCGGCCACCGACAGCCAGTGCCGCTGCGCCGCCGGCTACGTGCGCGACGGCGCCGCTTGCTCCGGTACGTGGCCCGGCGCTCGCCGAGGTGACCACCCGAGGTGCTCGCTCAGCCGTTACACGCACGATTTTTGATCGACAGCCGTCGACGAGGTGGTCGTGTACTCGGTGAGTTGGGAGGTGCGCGGCGTGGCGCTGAACGCCAGCGGCGGTGGGCGTGGCCTACTGCCGCCCGTGCCTCAGCTGACGCTGGCGGCCAGCATCGACTACGACGCGGCGGGCGAGTGGCTGTACTGGCTCGACTCGGAGGCGGGCAGCGTGTGGCGAGTGCGGCGAGACGGCACCCGGCGTGAGCTCCTCCTGAGCCAGCCCGCACCGCTCGACGCGCAACCGGCCGACTGGCTCGCAGGTCTCGCGGTGGACTGGCTGAACGAGAACGTGTATTGGTCGGAGCCGCGGCGGCGCCTGGTGCAGGTGTCTCGCCTGGACGGAACTCACCGCTACGTGCTCCTCGACACCGACCCGCTACCGGTCACCTGTGAGTTCCTGTAGCTTCGATAGTAAGAGTTCGAACTTTCGTGCCGAGTTCGATAATGATTATAACTTTCGGTTTGACAGCGTTAGCCGTGGATCCTGTTCGTGGATGGTTGTTTATGGCTGGCGGAGGTTGGATCCAGCGCGCTCGACTGAATGGCACGGAGCGAGATCTGATTTACAACGGCACGGCCGTCGCAGACATCGCTCTCGATATGAAGGTATTCTCTTCGCCACGACTCGTTTTCTTTTTTGGGTGTGAGAGCAATATTCACATGATTAAATGCGATGCACATATGATCGCTACATATAATAGTGTGGTAATGGTAATTGCAAGCCAGTTGAATATAAAGTCGCATCAAAAGTATGCAAAGTATTGCATCGGCACGTTGCAGGGCGGCTGGGTGTACTGGGTAGAGTCGCGCTCGGCGCAGGTTCGGCGCACGCGGTACGAGGGCGGAGCGGCCGAGCTGGCCGCGCAGTTCCCGCCGCTTCACCACCCCGTGGCGCTCGCCATCTACAACGACTCCCTCTACTGGCTGGACACGTAAGGCTGCAAATATGATTGTTCGGACTTAGGGCAAAAAACGGCGGAAATAATGTAACCGATTGAAGTTGCACAATAGTTGAATACATGTGTTGGCGCCCTTTGAGTCCCCCCTTCCCAGATTCAGAGGTGGGAGTACTCACCTCACTTGCTCAGTGCCGCGCTCGCCTATTTATGCTGAAGCATGGCTCTCCCGCGGTGAACCTGTCCGGTTGCAAGTCCATTTAAACTAATTTTGGTCATATTGTTAGATTAATTGTATTGTGTATACTAATGTTGTTATTAAGACTAATTCACATCAACAGCCTTTAATAGTCCACTGCTGGACATAGGCCTCTCCTTAGAAAGAAGGTTTTGGCCTACTATACCACGCTGGCCAGACGGGTTGGTATAGGGTTTGTGTCAAGTTTTCCTTCTTTTTGCAGTTCTTAGTCGGCTCTTACGACACCCACGGGATGAATTGGGGTAGTGACATTCCGTATTCTTAATCCGTCACTAAGACTAATTATTAAGAATTAAATATTATTCAGTTGAATCTGCTTCTCAAGGAACACAGTTATCATCACACACAACACAATATTAAAACAGTAAAATAATCATCATTTCATATTATTTGAGTCGCGTCGTTCGCGGCATAACGAATACAGTATACGTCATGTACGGCCATGAACAGTTTCTATTTAGTGTTCAGAATCGATTCTGACATTTACCTTCGGATCGTACTAAACCAACACTATTTTTTAAGTTTAGTAGCCTCATATTTTTAGTTTCTTCTCCGGTCACTCAAACGAGGCACAGCCACGAACAGCTACGAACGTATACACACTTAACTGCTGACTTATCCTCTGTGGTGTTCTGTCGATACTACTCTCTGTTAGTTCAGTAAGTTGTTACTTTTACATATTAACCTAATCTCTGTCGATGCTCGGCTACGGCTCGGTCGTGCGATGCAGGACGGCGAACCGAGGCAGCGTGCTGTCGGCGCCTCTGAGCAACATCAGCGCGTACCACGTGCTGCGCGACCACGTGGGCGACAGCCTGCGTGACGTGGTGGTGTGGGCGCGCAGCGCGCAGCCGCGCCCCGCCGCCCCGCCCTGCGCGCGCCGCTGCGCCGCGCTGTGCCTGGCGGGGCGCTGCGCCTGCCCGCACGGCCGCCTCGCCGCAGACGGCGCGTCCTGCATGCGTAAGTGCGGTGCTCCTCGAGTCCGATGACTCTCGCAGGCTCACGCTCATCGCTCCTCCATGTGTGTACAGCGTACGAGTCCTTTCTGCTGTTCTCGCGAGTCACCGAGATCGACAGCGTCCATCTGGAGGAACGGGACCTGAACTCGCCCTACCCTCCCATCCGCGACAAGTTAGTTTAACTTTTATATCTTCACCGATTTTAGTAAACCTAATGGTCGGACCCGTTAAAATCGATCCCGTCCTCCAGGGAACTGATGCGTAACGCGATCAGTCTCGCGTACGAGTACGCGGGTTCGCGCCTGTTCTACTCCGATATCCAGCGCGGCTCCATCAACACGGTGCTCTTTAACGGCACGGACCACCGAGTGTTGTTGGAGCAGGTGGGCGCCGTCGAGGGCATGGTGTTCGGTGTGAGCACGCGCACGCTGTACTGGACGTGCAACAGCGCGCCGGGAGTGCGTGCCGCGCAGCTGGACGAGCTGCTGCGCGCTTCCTCGGCCAAGCGCACCGCGCGCGTGTCCACCGTGCTGCGCCTGCCGCGCGGCGACCGGCCTCGCGGCATCGACTTCGAGCCGTGCGAGCGGCGCCTGTACTGGACCAACTGGAACGAGTCGCACCCCTCCATTCAGCGCGCCTACACGAGCGGGCGCGCGCTCCAAACGATCGTCACCACCGATATACTCATGCCCAACGGGCTGGCGCTCGACCACGCCGCCAAGCACGTGTACTGGGCGGACGCGCGCCTCGACAAGATCGAGCGCATGCACTACGACGGTTCACACCGAGCCGTAGTCACCCGAGCCTCCACCGAACACCCCTTCGATCTCGCGCTCGCCGGCGACTGGGTCTTCTGGACCGACTGGCTCGCGCACGGCGTTTTCCGAGCCGATAAGCGCGCCGGAGGAGCCTCGGCGTTACGCCGGGACGTGCCTCGACCCATGGCCGTGGTGGCCGTCACGCCCGACCACCAAACCTGTGAGTCGGTCGAACGTCGATACGACGATGATACGTTTTGCCATCGGATAACGGCAGAGATCTCTTTCTAATCAGGTTCGTCGGACCCCTGTGCGATACTCAACGGTGGTTGCGCCGAACTGTGCACGCTCGACGCGCGCGGGGCCGCCGTATGCGCGTGCGGCGCGGGGCGGGCGCTGGCACCCGACGAGCGAGCTTGCAAGCCCGCGAACGCGACGTGTCCGCCTGCGCATTTCGCGTGCGCCGAGGGTCCGTGCGTGCCCGAGGAGCTGGTGTGCGACGGAGTGTCACACTGCAGCGAAGGGGGCGACGCCAGCGACGAGGATCTGTACTACTGCAGTGAGTCACTCCCGCAACTATGTTTCTGTCGTTACATCACATCAACGACGCACAGTTAAACGACCGGTTCGATGTCAGCGTCGCGGGTGTGCCCGGGCGACACGCTGCCGTGCGGCGCGGGCGGGCGCTGCGTGACGGCGGCGCACGTGTGCGACGGGCGCGCCGACTGCGACGACGGCGCGGACGAGGCGCAGTGCGAGTGCCCCGCCACGCACTACCGCTGCGACGACGGCGTGTGCGTGCCGCTGGCGGCGCGCTGCGACTCGGCCGTGCACTGCCCCGACGGCTCCGACGAGCGCGGCTGTCCGGCCTGCGTCGGCGCCCGCTGCGACGCGCTCACCACCGGTCGGTACCCCTGACTGACGGTATACGATGAAATATGTCGCCGCATTAAATATATTATACGCCGTATGTACGTGTACGTCGCAGAGTCGAACGCCATCGAGACGAGCGCTCGGTCGGAGCCCGCGGCGGCTCCGGAAGGTTGCAGCTCCGACCGGTTCACGTGCGGCAGCGGCGAGTGCGTGCCTCTGTCGTGGCGCTGCGACGGCCGCAGCGACTGCGCCGACGGCTCCGACGAGACGCTGCACTGCAGTGAGTGCTGCTGCCCTAGGACTGCACGCGTGTAGCTCGTAGGCGGCAGTCACTGCACGAACGTTTCCGCCGACAGGTCACCGCAACAGAACGTGTGGCGCGGAGCAGTGGACGTGCCCGGAGTCGCGCGTGTGCGTGCCGCTGTCGGCGCGCTGCGACGGCGCGACGGACTGCCCGCGCGGCGATGACGAGGCGGGCTGCGCGTGCGAGCCCGGCGCGCCCTCCTGCGCCGACACCGGACTCTGTCTTCTCCCGGTATGTTGCAACTAGTTCTTGGTGTATTTATGGCTCGATGACTCTTCCTTTACGGAAATTTTAGACCTAGTCTAATTAAATCTCATGAAAATAAGAGTATGAGTTCACATCCACAAAGATACAGTTTACGAAAATTAACCGTTGATGATTGAAGAAAAAAAACACAAAAACACCCTAGGTAGTGGTAACACTTGAAACTATCTGTTTGCTGTAAGCTGGATAGTGCACGTATACATTTCTTTTGTACAAGAAATGTCCTATTTCCCTTTTACTGAAGTGCCCCATATTGTTGCACATCGTAATTTCGATCACATAGAAGTGGTATGCACTGAAAGGAGTGCCCAGAGTCGATATTGTGAAAAGAAAGTGGGAACGAAGAAATTAAGGACTTGTGCTTATCACACTCAAGCAAATGGTGCTATGGAGAGTTGACACAGAGTATTGAGAACCGCGCTCATCGTATTTGTACGTTGTGACAAAATGGTGACACCACCGTATTTAGGACCATTTAAAGTTCACGATAAATATTGTATGTTATATACAGAGTATGTACTGTGACGGAGACGCAGACTGCGCGGACCGCTCCGACGAGCCGGCAGGATGCGTGGCTAAGAGCGCAGCGTCCCCCCACCCGGTCCCCGGCCCGCCGGGCTCTCAGGGCCCGCCCGGCCCCGCGCTGTGCGGGGCGCCCGGCACGTTGCAGTGCGCAGGTCGCTGCGTGCCGCGCGAGCACGTCTGTGACGGCCGCGACCACTGCATGGACGGTGAAGGAGGCGGAGCCGGCTCAGATGAAGATCCACTCATATGTGGTGAGTTCTACCCGTGAACTTGTCGTGTCGTAGAGAAATCAAAACGATGTAATCTTTGTACATATATATATTGTTTTCAATGTTGTTGCACTACTTCACCTGTGAGCGTATACAAAACAATTAAAGAACCAGTATACTGTTGTATTAAAGTTACTGAATACTTTACGGAATCACTTCGCTTGACTTGACTGCACGGATGGCGTAGTGGTTTAAGCGGTCGCCACGCCGTTTCCTACTACGCCGAGTGTTGTGGGTTAAAACCCCACATGGGACGACACTTTGTGTGATCCACAAATTGTTGTTCTGAGTCTGGGTGTTCTTGGTGTCAGTTTCAGGATATATTCCTATATATTCCTTATAAAATAAATCTTTAAAAAAAAACTTGAGAGGTTTCAAGGGACATCCGGATGGAACGATGTTCCTTTCGATTAATTAGTGAAGGAATTGTAATAAAATTTTATTATTTTTTAATACTTATTATGTACAAAAAACCTGTATACACTCAACAAAAATGCTCGTCGCGACACCACACTGTTCAATGCGAAATAGAAGGACGAAACGAAAATATCTAGCTTGCTTTCTATAAGAGAGAGAGACAGCGACAGACAGAGAAACACGCGCACGCCGCACGGCTTACAATAGCTTACTATAGCAAAAAGTGTCGTTACAACTTTTCGTCTTAATTTTTTCCGTCTAGCCCCCTTTCGCAACGCGCGATAAGGAACTTCGTTCCAAAAATAAACTAACTTACACTTATAAATACTTTATACGTCTAAGATATAAAATAACAATTAGTGGCATGAGATTAAAAACAAACTTCAAAATTAAATGAAAACAAGTAGATAGTTCAATTCTTGTATTAATTAACATTTATTAAAATGTCAATAAAGTAGTAAAAATGGGATTCCTTTAACATTTGAAAACTAAATAACGAAGTCTATTATAATTAAAACGAATAATATTATTTACTACTCGACCAAGTGTTTTAGTCCGATCCTTAGTACCGTCGGCAAGGTTGTTACAGCTCGCACGTGTTTCATTTTATTATTTATATATAATATGTTGAATGATATGAGAGCAAATAACGCACAATTTGATTTATCTAAAAATAGAAATATTTAATGTTATTATCATATTACAATATTCAAATTAATTGAGATCAATGGTTCAATGGATCAATGGTTACATACACAATATACTAACCTAAAAATAGAAAAATCGACAATTAAAGGTTTTTACTTTCAATATTTTAGTAGATCAACACTCTTACTAAACTTAATGAATTTATGACATTTACTTCTTATCAAACAAGTAATACAATCAAATAACTCACTTCACGAGCAAGCTTATAATCTACTACGTCTCATAAAACACTCTTGAATCTATCGTCCATATTGTAACGTCATACTTTAAGGCTGCGTTCACATAGTATAAGTATTAAGCTACGTACCCAACATACAGTATACAAAGCTTACATATATACTTTTCATTTGTAAATATATACTTATATTATAATACATAGAAGCACTTAAAACCAGAATAATTAAATATCTGCAGATAACATAAATAGCTAATCAAATTAAATAAAAAGTAAATTAATTACATAAAAAAAACACCGATCGATCACTTGGATTGTTCTGCTATCCGTACCCGTAGTCAATGACGTCACGTTTGACAGTCGTCTAGTTCGCTTGGTCGAGTAGTAGGTAATTGTAAGTCATTCTAAAATTTAAACAAACAGAAAGTTTACTAGCACCGGTGTGTGGAACAAAAACGGTTCTTAGGTGAGCGTAGTGTTAGTGTAAATACCCGGAGCGGTGCTAAGACTAAAGTAGACGGTATCCAAGCAGCCATAGGCCGACTATACATACTGTACATACTACACACATCAAATTATTTACGGCTGTAGTTTAATATTCCACTGCTGGATATAGGGCTCTCCTTGGAAAGGAGCTTATGGTCTACTAAGTATACTACGCTAGTTATTCACATACATACTACACATTTATATTAAATTCATTCGTTAAAACTTAAAAATGAAATAAATTGGAAGTAAGAATAAATTGAAAACAGCTAAAAGTTTTTTTTTTGTATATAACATAATAAATTAATTAGAGACCATTTTTTTCTTATCTTTTTATAAGTAGTTAGTAAATAATATTTCTGAAACAAAATATCGTGACATATATCTATGGTAGGTTTCAAAGGTTCAATGGGCACATTTAACAACAGGTTATTGTAACAGTTACTTTATTTCATCATAAAAGTGATGTGTAAATCGGTATTGTGTTACTCTGCAGCGTCATTTGCGGACGGTATCGAGGGGCTTCAGGACGCGGGACGGGCGAACGCGTGGCGCGGGACGTGCGTGCGCGGCCAGTGGCAGTGCCAGAACGGCGCGTGCATACCGCGCACTGCGCTCTGCGACGGCGTAGACGATTGCGGCGACTACACCGACGAATGGCACTGCAGTGGGTATACCGACGAGCGGCATCCTAGTTCATAAGTGCCCGATAGAAGCATATGATAGAAGCCGAGTCGTCTTGTCGCGTAATAAAGTCTCGTTGTCTTGGTGGACGCAGACGTGGCCGAGTGCGCGGTGCAGAACGGCGGCTGCGCGCACAACTGCTCGGAGCTGGCCGTGGGGCGCGCGTGCTGGTGCCGCGCCGGCTGGCGCCGCGAGCCCGACGCGCGCGCCTGTCGCGACGTGGACGAGTGCGCGGAGGACGAGCCCTGCGACCACCACTGCAGGTACCGCCTCCTTTGCCCAGACGTCTTTATGTACCACTTACGAATACCTAAAAACGACTTTTAAACTGGTTTCATATTAACTTTTAAGATTTTACATCACGATTATAATATTTATGAACGTTTCCACCGGTCGCGCCGACTCTAATAGCCGGTCCTAATCTCAGCCGAGTTGAAGGTATAAAATACCTCTTACCTGTTGATTCCCGTGTATGAACAACATTATACATGAGCGTCATATATTATGTTGATAAAGCGAAGAGTGTCTAGTACTAAATCTGTACAAAAGCGTAGACACCGACGAGCAGAGAACACTCGTTGTTGTTGTCGTGGTGTTGTTACCTCACGGTTCGCTTGTTCTTATTCTTATTGTAGACACCATTTACTCTTCTTAAAAATATTTTATATCCATGCCAATTTAATTAAAATCGGTTTAGCGGTTTAGCCGTGAAAACATAACAGACAGACAGAGTAACTTTCGCATTTTACAGTATTACTAGTATTTAATGATTAAAGTAATTGATGCAAGTGCTCCGTTTATATGTGCTCGACAGAAACACGCTGGGAAGCTTCGTGTGTTCGTGCGCCGCCGGCTACCGGCTGATGGCGGACGGCATCACCTGCACGCCCATCTCTGGTGAGTCACGCACTGGACGTTCACTCCGTCAACCTACGCCAGTGGTTTTGTCAAAAACATGCATCCATGCAACTGCAATTGAAAACAATTAGCAGAGTTTTTATAACTTCACACATTTCACACTCGGCAAAACTAGGCAGTGCGAACGTAACCAGACTGCTGATAAACATACTTATATATATCTAAACACATACATATTATAGATAAATTATAGCCATCATTATACTCATCACACAATATTTGTCCTATTTTATTTTTGTATTTTTACAAGAATATTTGTTTTTTGTTTTTTATAATTGGTTGAATAGCCTCCCATAGATAGATAGGTACCGAATTAACCGACTTAGTTTACATTCGATTTCACAACGTTTTACGACAGAAGAACTGCCTTCTTCTTCTGCGGGGATTTAAATATACCCAAACACTCATACCATAAATAAAACGACAAATAATTAATTTATATCCGTTCAACCGTTCAGTAGTTATGAGGAAACCTAGAGACGGTCATACCTATATGTATTCACCTATATTTGTCCGTCTCTATGTTCCCTATTGATCTGTAGATCACACATACCTTTTTTTTATTTCTCACGCGGACAAAGTGACGGGCAGCAGCTAGTTCATAATATAATATATAGTGTGTGTGTGCGTGTACAGCGGTGCGCGCCAGCCTGATCTTCACGAATCGATACTACATTCGCCGCGCGCCCGTTCTGAGCGCGACCGGGCCCGCCAACGACCACGAGGCCAGCGAGCTTCTCGTGCACGACCTCACCAACGCCGTGGCGCTGGACATGGACTGGGCCACCGGCTGTCTCTATTGGAGTGACGTCACACGACTCGGTTCTTCCATCCGCCGCTCCTGCTTAACCGATCCACACTCGATATCGGCGCCTGCGCTACTGTCCACGTCTGCCGCGTCGCCGCAACACCAGCTGCTTCACAGCGCCACTTTACAAAACCCAGACGGGCTAGCGGTAGATTGGGTCGGTGGCAATTTATACTGGTGCGATAAGGGCACAGACACACTGGAGGTGTCGCGGCTGGACGGAACTCACCGGCGTGTTTTACTACGAGGGAACCTCAGCGAACCGCGAGCGCTGGCGCTACATCCCAAGCACGGGTGAGCATTTGGTATTAAATTATAGCATTTTGATCCACAGTACGCCTATGTCTGCTGCGATAGGCTGATGATGATCCACAGTATACTACACGTCGCTTTTGCTATTGTTCGACCGACTGAGGTCTTGAGTGTGCGGGATTTGCTACGTCCGGTGTTTCTTGGAATACTGTTGTCAGATCCGGATCCCTTCATATACAGTACATACCGACGTGTTTCTGTGTCATATGATTCTAAAATTTCTACACTCGCTCATTTTAAACAGCTTACACTCGAGCACAGGCATAACATTGCCGATATCGTATCTGCACAAAATAATTAACGGCAAAGTCGATTGCCTTAACTTGCTTGCAAAATGTAACGTGCTCATGCCCCGCTCCGGCAGCCGTCTCCACAACGAAACAACATTGATGCACCAATTACGGTCAACGCTCGTCATTGTATCGAATGACGTCCTCATATAAACAATTTTTTGAAACAAAATTATTGAAATTGACAACCTGCATGTAGCTACTCATAGTATCAAATTTTTATTAACTTAAATCTACTTAGGTATTCTGTTTGTGTAACGTTTTTGTATTTGCATGTAGTGTTCGCCGCGTGGACTTACATGTTCGCGTTTGTCTAAAAGACTATCTCGACGCGTGCGGTGCGTAACGTCCAGTTTTGTGAACCGATAAAAACAAATGGCTGAATAGTTTAAGTCGAGGTAGCTGAAGTGGACATCGCTCGAGCCTCTTTGCGTGTCGGTGTTCGCAGAACCCTGTACTGGTCGGACTGGGGCGCCGCGCCGCACATCGGGCGCGCCGGCATGGACGGCTCGCGCCGCACCGTGCTGGTCGCGGCGGGCCTGTACTGGCCCAACGCGCTCGCCATCAACAGCGCCTCCGACGAGCTGTACTTCGCAGACGCGCGCGAGGATTACATCGCCGTGTCCGACCTCGACGGCAAGAGGGTCCGAATACTGTTCTCTAGAGGTAACGAATATTATCAACTTTGTGTATACAGGGTTACTGGGAAGTCGACCTAAATACTTTTAGGGATTGGCAACTACAATACGTATATTTTTTTAACAAATCTGCAGTTAATAAATGTAATTTAAAAATCTATGACAGTTATATCATAGATTTTTTTACGTTATTTATCAAAGAATATTTTTTTCACAAATTTATTTATTTTTCTATTATTAACCATCTACTTCGGCCCAGTTTGTTAAATTAACTACAATTTTAGTAATGGAAATTATAAAACAATTTATTACCTACACAAAAACGGTAAAAATAAAATAAAGAATACAAGTCGGCGATTTTTATAAAAAAACTTAAAAGTCCTATATCTTGAAAATGGTAATTTCTTTGTTATTATATTTCATAGTGAAATCTATCAGAAATGATGGCAACTACAACCCCTTACAGTATTTAGGTCGACTTGGTAACCCTGTAAATATCGAGTGTTACGGTACACATATAAACGATCATCAGACCTGCCGTCCTATGGATCTGAGTGTTGGCCGATGAAGAAAATGAACGAGAGACGCCTGCATGTAGCTGAAATGCGAATGTTAAGACGGATGTAAGGTGTGACTATGAAGGACAAGGTGAGGTATGCAACATTAGAGGAAGCCTGAAAGTAGAACCGGTACAGACGTGTGGTGCGTAGGGACTGTCGTGGGTCGATGGAGCCGGTAAAATAAATCAAACGAGGGTTGACTATACACTGACTACATTTAAGGATATAACTTTTATATTGAAAGGTATACTTTTTTTTTTTTTTTTTTTTTTTTTTTTTTTTTTTTTTTTTTTTTTCCGTGCGGAAATCCCCTCGGATACCACCTGTCGGTGGCATGTCGGACTCGAACCGACTAAAACCGCACGCCTTCGCCGGGTACTAATAGCCGGGGAACCAGGTATACCCTAGAAAGGAAGGCCCTGGTGCCCCGACATACCTCGGGCCATCTACAGACGAGTAGACGACCCCCGCCCCGTGTGGGAACCCCATGTTCCCTGTGCTCCCTGAAAGCGAGCGCACTTCGCAACGCGCTCGCCGCCACCCCGGCCTGCTTCTGCTAGGGTGACAGATGGCCTCACCTGTCACCCCCAGGCCTGCGCTTATGGAGGACGGAGGTCGTTCTGCGACCTCCGGCGCCTGAGTCGCCTGCGCTGCCTGGCCCGTGCCCGGGCCTGGCGGGCCGGGAGAGTCCTAAACCTCTCCCGGTCCCGCTCCGCCGTCTCCTTCGCGAGCATAACTTGCTCGCAGAAGGAGACGGCAGAGTTCCACGCACTCTCGCTCCGCACGATAGCCGCAATCAGGCTATCGAGCGAGAGAACTCCCACTCCGATGGCCGCCACGAGGTCTCGCCTCTGCTCAACCCACGCCGGGCACTCTGCCAGCGTGTGGAGAGCCGTGTCCACGGTCTGGCCATCGCAGTGGTGGCACTCAGGCGTTGGCTCCTTGCGGATCAGACACAGGTGATCTCCGAAACATCCCTTCCCAGTGATCACCTGCGTCAATCGGTATGAGAGGGTCCCGTGACGCCTCTCGAGCCAATCCTCCATAACGGGTCTTACCGCCGCAATGACGGCGTGCCCGTTGAAAGGTATACCTATAGGTTAATAATATATCTGGTTACAGTTTTATGTAATAAAATTCGCGATGTATTTGGTGGTTTAATATACCTTTAATTTCTATTTAAATTATATATTAATAACATGCATTTATTAATATTATTTAACCATATTCATTAAATACAATATCGTGAGGGAAAGCTGCATCAATCACGTGGTTGTAAGAATTCAATTTTAACAAAGTCCTTTCTCAACATTTCACTGAAACCAAGAAACGAAATAAAATATTCTCCAAAATGTAATTTTAATCTGTTAAATATATTTGTTCAACCTTTTATCCAATATGTTAAACCGAATAGGAACCCGAGATACTGCTATTTAGATAAAATATAGTTAAATTAAGCAAGTACTATTGTTACCCAGTCACCTACGATTGAGATCGTTTTTGTGACAATCCTTGCACATTCTTAGTCGATGCAGTCTTGTAGGTTGTTATGCCTAGCTTACAAGCGTGCCGAGGCTTGGCAAACGTCCACAAGCTCCGAGTCTTTACAAACACTTTGATGCCATTTACACGCTTGCTATTGTGTTCCGGACAGGCAAACATAGCACACGTGGACATATTTTTATTCAAAATATAAACGGCGGCACTAAAAAGAATATTCTCTAGCTCTACTGCTCAACTAAACTGCTCAATCAGTAGAGCATTGAGACTTAATGTTGATTCTTGTCTGCTCAACTACAATATTTTTGTAATATCAAATTGAGCAGTAGGGAACAAGCACGCGCCAACGTGTAAATACGTCGCAAACGCTTGCCGCGAGCTCCCTTTGATCTGTGTTCAAAAACCGACACTAGGACCGATCGACGACGAGCCCACGCGAGCCAAGCCGAACACCAAGTTTACACGCTAGTGTTTGTGGACACTTGTCGAGGCTCGCCATGCGTGTAAACGGCCTATAATAAATACCAATAGTGAGTCAACTCCTTTGATAGACCGCTAATAGGCTCGCGGCAAGCATTTGCGAGTTTGCCTGTCCAGAACACAATAGCACACTCGCAAGCGTGTAAATGGCATCCAAGCGTTTGTAAAGCCTTGGAGCTTACGGACGTTTGCCAAGACTCGGCACGCATGTAAACTAGCCATTACACGTATGCTTATACAAGATGAGCAAAATGTAGTGAAGAGTTTTTTTAATGTATGGAGGTCACGGATGTACGAGTAGAGGACGACCAAAGACAAGATGAATAGACTGCGTGAAAGAGGATATGGCTAGAAGTAGCAGTAAGCAGCGAAGTGACGACAGAGGAGAATGGAAGAGGAGAAGAAGAGATCCTAAATAAATTTTGAAAAGGGTAAAAAGATGATGTCTAGTGTAATCACCTCTGGTGCTTAATCTTTTGAAAAATTTTACAGAACAGTTTGTTTCTATTGTGTGTGTTGATCTATGGCTTTAAAATCTACATAAAAGTCGATTTCAAGCGACTTTTAAAAGTATTTATGAATTAAAGATATTTTGACTCTCAATGTTTGGTACATCATTATAATATACATGTGTTGTGCACAGAGCGCATGCCGTGGCTCCAGCTTCACCACGTGTTCGCGCTGGGCGTGTGGGAGGGGCGCGTGTACTGGAGCGACTGGGAGACGCGCGCCATCGAGAGCTGTCGCCGCCGGCCCGACATGCGCTTCAAAGTAACATTTGATATTGTAGTCAAACTACTGATGCATGCTCAAATACTATTTTATTGCTCTCCTTTGTTAGTGAACTGTGTTAGTAATTACAAGTACGAGTATAGTGTAATAGTAATCGTGTGTGAGCTAACATCTAGTCTGCTCTGAACTTATCACAAAAAAATTAATAATAGATAACAAAGTTCAATATACGTCGGTTAAAATAAAAATAAAAATTAGCACGAAAATATAGAAATGCAAGTTTGGAAAAAAAACCATACAATAAAATAATGTCGAATTAGAACACCATTGTTTACTTGAGTCGGTGGACTGTACCACGGTACAATTATAATACAGTAGTGTAACTCGGCCGCATGATAGAAATAAATGCCTACAGCCGCGCGGTACGTAAACATGCGTTAGGGCTGCCCGTCTCCAGCATTTTAATTATATTTGCCTACTTTCTGTTTCTATTTAGATTTGTGATTGTAAATATCCTTTTTATATAAATAAATGAAATACTTTGTATATTGAATAGGAAGTGTTCAATAAAAATGCGTGTTGTTTTTTGATTGGTAGATTTAATTATTTTATTTTCTTTCTGCATTGGAGGAGTTCAAGTTGGTAGGGCATTCTTTTTTAAAAGTTTTCTATTTGATGAATGTAATACATCCTCCAAATTAAAATGTTTTTCACAAACTTGGTAGGAACTAAAGTTAGGTTTGTTTTCCAAATCATCTCGCCGGATCAGTTGCAACCATTGAAGACGTCTGAAAAAAAAATACATGTGACACTCTCGGCGACTGCCGCGGTAAAGCTATTGCATAACATTTTTTTTTTAAGAAAAAAATCTGCGTGGTGTTAGGTATTTTTCGGTTCTTTCTTCGTTAGGTTTTGAGAATTTCTTGATTCGGTCACCGCGCCGCGCCGCGCTCAGAGCCCGCGATAAAAGCTATGCAATAGTTTAAAAATCCTTCTATAGAATAAAAAAAATGTGCTTTGTCCTTACGCTTTACAAAACTCCAACACCTACCTACTCAACTAGAATGCAAGAAACAGCTGACGAGTAAGTAACTTTTTATCTCAGCTTATTAACGTCTCTATAAATTAGGTACCTACCTACAACTCAAAACAAAAATTCTTTGTTCACCAATTAATTAATTATTAAAAAGCTGAACAGCTGACTACGAATGTTTGTAGTCAGCTGTTTGTACAACCCTCAAACATCTAAATATTATATATGAGTCTAGCTGTTATTGTTAATACCGAGAAAATGAAACCAGTTTTTAGTGGTATATGTTGTTATAGTAGCAGCAGAAACACTTTGCGAAAATTTCGAAAACTATCTAATGACACACAGACGGTAAAAATTTTTTTTCTAGTATTATTCATACACACAGATAATAAACAAATATTATTAAAAATAAAATACCACGTCTTTACTTTGAATTATGCAAAGTAACAAAACACACATGCACCAAAGTTTTAACACAAGCGTAAATAGGTAGGTACCTACCGTATCATGATTCATTCAGAACCGCATATAACTACCTATTTCACTCGTCAATAACTTTCCGTTACTCTATTCGCTTTATTTATTAATCCAACCACCTTTTTTTTCGTAAGATAAAAGGAAATACTTATCCATTAAAAAGACACACATTATGTACCTACCTACTAGTAAGTAAAATTATTTTATAGTCTTACCTTTCAGAGTTTCCAGGTAATTTAAAAAAACTTATGTCTGGATGCGTTATTGACGAATTCACAACCGCGACAACCAAAAGCAGCACAATATTTCCTACTCGTCATATTAACTGATTTTTAGAGAAAAAATCGCGCGGTTATTGTTAAAAGAAACAACACACCGTCCGTTCGACACTGCGGTACAGCCGTGACTGTCTGCGCCCCGAGCGCACCCCGAGATCGAGGCGCGTAGGTATAGCTCGCGTTTCGTCCGTTTGTATGAAGTTGGAGTACCGTATTATAATTGTACCGTGACTGTACGCCACAGCGTCGCATTGTCGGCGACATCAAAGCGACGCCGCCGCCACGACGAGCCGGCGAACTTTACATGCTTACTTACAACACGATAACATTAATTGTTCACTCCATTGCCGTGTATTATGACGAACGCAATAAGACTAAACAATTATTAACACAACAAAACTTTTCTAAACAAATATCTCATGAACAACAACAATATAATTTGTCGTGAGCGCATCTACAAGGACACAGGGCAGTATAACACTCAGTACATGGCCCTTTACGGGTGCCCAGTATGGGCGGGGGCCCTGAAGGCCAGCAACGTCGCGATACTGCGACGACCGCAGCGAGTGCTGGCCATCAGGCGGCGAGTCTCCTGGCCGGAACTCCACCGTGGGACCTGGAGGCGAGAGCCCTTGCGGCTCTGTATAAGTGGCGCAAGGAGACGCGGGAGTTGGGTCGGTGTCCCGGGACTCGAGAAATCTATGACCGGAAATCCCAACTCCGCCAGGTCATCATAGGGGAGTGGAAGTAACGACTCGGGCAACCGAGCGCCGGGCACGCCGTCATCGCGGCGGTAAGACCCGTTATGGAGAATTGGCTCGAGAGGCGTCACGGGCCCCTCTCACACCGACTGACGCAGGTGATCACTGGGAAAGGATGTTTCGGGGATCACCGGTGTCTGGTCCGCAAGGAGCCAACGCCTGAGTGCCACCACTGCGATGGCAAGACCGTGGACACGGCTCTCCACACGCTGGCAGAGTGCCCGGCGTGGGTTGAGCAGAGGCGAGACCTCGTGGCGGCCATCGGAGTGGGAGTTCTCTCGCTCGATAGCCTGATTGCGGCTATCGTGCGGAGAGCTGCCGTCTCCTTCTGCGAGCAAGTTATGCTCGCGAAGGAGACGGCGGAGCGGGACCGGGAGAGGTTTAGAACTCTCCCGGCCCGCCAGGCCCGGGCACGGGCCAGGCAGCGCAGGCGACTCAGGCGCCGGAGGTCGCAGAACGACCTCCGTCCTCCATAAGCGCAGGCCTGGGGGTGACAGGTGAGGCCATCTGTCACCCTAGCAGAAGCAGGCCGGGGTGGCGGGAGCAGAGGGAACATGGGGTTCCCACACGGGGGGTCGTCTACCTGTTGTTGTAGATGGCCCGAGGTATGTCGGGGCACCAGGGACTTCCTTTCTAGGGTATACCTGGTTCCCCGGCTATTAGTACCCGAGACGGCGTGCGGTTTTAGTCGGTTCGAGTCCGACATGCCACCGATAGGTGGTATCCGAGGGGATTTGTTCGGCTTCCGGCAATCGGCTTCCGTTTATAGTTCATGAGTGCGAACGGCGGCTGCGTACCACTGGTGTGGATGTGCGATAGGTGGTATCCGAGGAGATTTCCGCACGGAAAAAAAAGGGCAGTATAACACTCAGTGATTCACGGTGGCTAAGGGCCGACTGACTGTAGATAATTATTGGATGAAATGGATGAACTAATTAAAAATGCGTGTCCTTCATCCTGATGACGCAATAATCAACATATTTTGTCCGATTCGAGTGTAGTAAAAGCGGCAACGTGTGATGTTACCGCAACTTATTATGACTGCATTTACACATGATGTTGCAAAGTACGAAACCACAAAAATTGTCCTGTTTCTAAACCACTTTTTTGATCATATTTTTCAAATCGTCTAGAAATAAAGTGCAGTACGCATATACAATAGATCAGGGTTGTATCCCGCAGGAGAGCAACGCGAGCACCGAACTGAGGACGGGCGGCGCCTACGACTGCCGCACCGTGCTACACACCGTTCACAAGCCCATGGACCTGCGCGTGCACCACCCCGCCAGGCAGCCGCCCGCACCCGGTCAGTCTCCTCGCTTCTATTTGTGCTCTATCTCATCATGTACGTTATAACTGTCACTTATAGCGACGTTTTCCTATGGTACAGAACTGTCTGCGCTGTGCGCGGCGCTAAACTGCTCCGGTTTGTGTCTGCTGACGCCGGCGGCGGAGGGCGGCGAGGGTGCGGGCGCCCGCTGCGAGTGCCCGGAGCACTGGGTGCTGGCGGCGGACGGGCGCTCGTGCACGCCCAACTGCACGTCCGCGCACTTCGTGTGCGCCACTGCGCTTAAGTGCATCCCGTTCTGGTGGCGCTGCGACACGCAAGACGACTGCGGTGACGGATCGGACGAGCCCGCCTCGTGTCCGCCCTTCCGCTGCTCGCCGGGCCAGTTCCAATGCGATAACGGCCGCTGCGTGCATCCCGCTCACCTGTGCGACGGCGCGCAGCAGTGCGGCGACGGTTCCGACGAGAGGGACTGCGACAAAGTATTTATCTGTACAGAGCGAGTACACGTTTAGAGGTCCCGCAAAACGATAGTAACTAACGGTAGGTGCACCGCCCGCAGTTCACGTGCCTGTCGTCGCAGTGGAAGTGTCGCGGCAACAGCTCGGCGGGAGTGTCGGCGCGCTGCGTGCCTGCGGGCGCGCGCTGCGACTCGCGCCGCGACTGCCACGACGGAGACGACGAGGACGACTGTCCGCCGAGAACCTGCCCGCCCTACCACGTGAGTGTTACACAGTGCGACACACGACTGCGTTACGTCAGATCTAGGCATCGTTCGACATTATTTAAGTATTAATAAAATCATTTGCGTGTTCGATCGGCTTCCGTTTATAGTTCATGTGTGCGAACGGCGGCTGCGTACCACTGGTGTGGATGTGCGACGCGGACTCGGACTGCGGAGACGGATCCGACGAGACCGGCGAACTGTGTGCGACACGCAGCTGCGCCACTGACGAGTTCCGCTGCGGCAGGTACGTCCTCCGACCGATCGATTCGTCGAAGGCGTAGTTAGAGATCGAAATAAAATTGTATTTTTCGTCGCCGCTCGCAGCGGCCGCTGTGTGCCGCTGGAGTGGGTGTGCGACGGAGAGCCGGACTGCCCCGGGCGGGAGGACGAGGCTCAGTGCGGTGCGGAGCGCGCGCCCGCGCCCTGCCAGGCCACGTACTTCCGGTGCCCCGACGCGCGCTGCATCCCGGGCCGCTGGCGCTGCGACGGCGAGGACGACTGCGGCGACGGCGCCGACGAGATGCGCTGCGAGCCCCGCGCCTGCTCCGAGTCGGAGTTCCGCTGCGCGTCGGGCGACTGCATACGCGGCGCGTTGCGATGCTCGGGCGTGCCGGACTGCGCCGACGCCAGCGACGAGCGCGACTGTGACGCGTGCGGGCCGGGCGCGCGCGCCTGCGCCTCGGGCCGCTGCGTGCGCCTGGAGTGGTGGTGCGACGCCGAGCCCGACTGCGACGACGCCAGCGACGAGCTGCAGTGCGGCGCGCGCGACGTGGCGGCCTGCGCGCCTCCCGCCTGGCGCTGCGACGGCCGCCTGGACTGCGCCGACGGCCGCGACGAGCTACCCGCGCTGTGCGAGGCGCACGCGTGCCCGCACCCCATGTTCAGGTGGGCACCTTCTGCACGTTCACGTAACCTCCGTTGTGACGTTATTGATGTTCGATTTACCGCTCACACAGATGCAAGAACGACACGTGCCTACCGTTCAACCTGGTGTGCGACGGGTTCGAAGACTGCGACGGAGATGAGAATCCAGCTTTCTGTATGTACCTACTGTAGCGATAAAGAACGTGTCCGTTCTTAAGGTCACGATTAAACACTCATTATGTTTTTTGCGCAGGCGACCGGCGTCGCTGGCTCGGCGAGGAATCTGTGTGCGAACCAGACGAGACGATGTGTGACGACGGACGTTGCGTTGCCATTAACGCGTCCTGCGATAATTACGGTATGTACCTACGCCTTTGTAAGTGAGCCATCCTATGAACCTCGCATTGCAGTCTCTTCCGACGAAAAGACCGCATAGTAGGTACATAACAATTTAAAGAAAATAACATGCTCGAAGAAACAATGAGGGGTTTCTGAAATGTTCCACGTGAGATGGCAGCACTGTAGCGTCAGGTCCAACCACCTGTCAAAACACATACACGATTTGTAGTTTTCGATCATTTGTTTGGTTTATTCATTCTTAAAAACGTTACAAAGGAATATTGTTTTATAAAATGCCACAGTGTTGTGCAGTGCCTATGTGTTCAAATAAAACAGGAGGGCATAAGTTAAAAGATAAAAGAAGATAAAAGTCGATTAAAACAATGGCTTGTAGCCATTGGCAGAGATAAATTTACTCCAACGAAAAATAGCATAATAAACTCAATAACACTTCCAAATACATAGAATTTTACTAAAAAATTATACGTTCGGTAAGAATCTGTGCTATCTGGGCCTCGCGCCGGTTACAATAACCGAAACAGTATAAAAACACGAAGGCGTGAAATCCGAACGTCTGTCTGAACGATACTATTAGAATGAAAAGTAATAGTAGAAGGGCACAATTTTACAAATAAATTTACATATTGATCAGGTGAATGCCGCTGGGACACCTGCTCACAGCTGTGTCTGCGCAAGACTCATGCTCACATGTGCAAATGCGCGGCGGGATTCCGCCAACGCGTTCTTCCGGACGAGTCCAGCACGTGCGAGGCCACCGGCGACCGGCCGCGGGTTTTGGTCGCCGAGGGCGGGGACGTGCGCCTCTGGCATGCGCTCAAGCACGAGCGCACCACGAACAAAGAAGAACCTGAGCTGCATATAGACAGGTGCGTACCGTCATTTCCTTCCATTGGCGCATTTTTTTTATCAATTTTTCTCGAGAACTTTAAACGACTCCGTACGCCCGTGACGCAGGAGTACCGGTGTAGAGATTTGGTGTTTGAGCGGGGCGCTTCTGGAAGGCGAGTGGTGGGTAGTGTGGGGCGACGACGCGGGTAATCTGCACCGCGCCAATCTCACTGCGGGCCTGGCGGCGAACGGTGAGGAATTCGCCAGAAACGCCGAGATTATCGTAAGTATCGTTCGCTACCGAGCGCGTGGAATAGAAAATGAATGCGATCTACACCGAGCCGTCCGCAGGCTACGGCTGACGCGCCGGTGCGCGGCTGCGCGTTGGAGCCGGTGTCGCGGCGCACCTACTGGACGTCGGGCGGGGCCGTGTACGTGAGCGCGCTGGACGGGCGCGCGCGCGTCACTCTGCATTCGCGCGCTCTCGGCGCTCCCGACGACCTGGTGCTTCACAACGCCACGCGACAGTTGTTCTGGTCGGAACGCGGCGCCGAGCCGGGAGTGATGGCGGCGGGGCTGGACGGCTCTGCCCCGCGATGGCTGGTGCGCAGGCGGGTGCGGCGCGTCACGGCGCTGGCGCTGGACATCTGGGCGCGGCGCCTGTACTTCGTGGACGGCTACTACGACACGCTGGAGTCCGTGCGTCTGGACGGCGGTGAGCGCGTGCTGCACGCACAGTTCACGCAACGCCCTCCCGACGCTCCGCTCCCGATACACGTCTACGTTAACGGAGGTGAGCGAGACCATCTTAGATAGAGGTAATTCTTCGCCTACTAAAATCTTGATCACGAAATTATTATCAACATAAATATTAAAAAAATCAAATCAACGTTACTTTAGCTTGTCGCTCGCATCAGTTTTTTGATCACCAGTTAAAGAGGGAAAACCGAAAAGGATAATTACGTATGCGCGAACGGCACACCGAATTAACCCAATCGTCAATCGGTCGTCCCGAGTCTGGCCGTTCTTTGAATATTTTTGAATGCGATGTAGCGTGGCGATAGAGCAGGCGACGGGTCACCCGGTGGCAAGTAACCGTCGCCGCCCATGGGAACCTGAATATTTGTGACAATAAAACGAGCATTTCGCAGACGTACGTCACGTGGGCAACTCGACTGCGGCCGCGGTGGCGAACGCGTCGGTGGTGTACTCGCGCGCGTGCCTGCGCATGGCCGTGTGGGAGGAGTGGGTGTGGTGCGCGCGGCCGCGCGGGCTGGCGCGCATCCCGCGCCGCGCCGCGCGCCGCGTGCAGCCGCGCGTGCAGGCCCCGCGCCGCGCGCTCACCGCGCTCGCGCTGCTGCACCCCGTCATGTTCGCGCACGCGGGTACGTGGCCTGCCTGCACTCGGTAGACGAACGCTCGAGTCGTCGCTATGAAAAACGAATCGTTAAAATGTGGTTCGTAGTGATGCTCTAATGTAAATATGTATGTGGGTGCAGGAAGTTCGGACCCGTGCACGGAGAACGGGCGACCGGCGTGCGACGAGAGCGCGCTGTGCGTGCTGAGCGCGGCGCCGCGCGGCTACGCGTGCCTGTGCCCCGACGGGCTCGTGGCCCTCGACGAGACCGTCACCGGGGTCAGTACCGAACACCGTTAACTGTGTCTCTACAGAATATTAACGATATATTAAAAAAAAAAAAAAAAAAAAATTCAAACTAAGCAGAGCTTGTACTATGAAAGTTACATTGACTGATAGAATACTTATGTACTTTTTTTTTTTGTAAATACACACATATTATGCATAGAAAACACCCAAACTCCGATACAAATATTGCACCTCACGGATCGATCCAAATAATTCATCCCTGTAAGCCAAATTCTATCTATTAGTTTGTGAGCGTTAGAAAGAAACAGGATAAGTATACAAAATATATATCGAACCAGCTACGTTCGTAATTCTGTTTTCTAAACACAAAGCGACCTCTCCGAGAGGGTGGGACGCGTATCGCAATGTCGTGATGGAGTTACGTGCGAGTACACCTCTGCCACCGTCCGCAGGAGCGGCGCAAGTGCGTCATATCTCGAGGCGAGGTCGACAGCTCCACGGCGAGTGCGGGCCCTCGCGACGACGCGACGTGCCCGCTGTCGTGCGGGCCGGGCGCGTGCGTGCTGGAGGGCGGCGAGGCGCGGTGTCGCTGCCCGGCCATGTTCGCGGGCGCGCACTGCGAGCACTACCGCTGCGCGCTGTACTGCCACCGGCGCGGGCGCTGCGAGCTGGACCTCACCGCGCCGCGCGCCCCCGCGGCCGCGGTGCCGCTGCGCTGCACGTGCTACGGCGGCTACGGCGGCGCACGCTGCGAGACGCGCGTCGCGCCCGCCCCGCCCGCGTCCCCCGCCACGCCCCCGTCCGAGCAGGTGAACTCTTGAACCGCTTTCCTTGAGATCGAACTGAGCTATTTGCATGCACGACTCGGTTAACGAAGGCGCGACGCGACGAATACCTAAAACAGATCCAGATAAAATAAGCTAAAAAAATAAACATGAAGTTATTTGAGTTTTATTATTTTATTCCTTTTGATTTCAATTTTTTCTGCGTCGTTGTTCTTCAGCGAAAATATAATTTATCCTGGGTATTCTAAAATATATTTGGTGTAAAATTCATTTAGTTTTTAAAGACTCGGGTCGCCAACCGGTAACCAAAAGTATAAAAAAAAAAATTAGATTTGCTCGACACCTGACTAGATACTGTATCACTTATCTTTTTATTGATCGCAACATAAGTTAAGTATTGAATCATTCTTCTGCACAGGAGGCGTGCTCTCGCACTCGCTGCCAGAACGGCGGGACGTGTATATCGCACGGAGACGCAGCCACGTGTGCGTGCGCGCCGGGGTTCACGGGCGCGCTCTGCGAGTGTGCGGGCGAGCGGTGCCAACCCAACATTTGCCAATCTTTCTGTCTCAACCAGGTTTGTGTGATTCTTTCATCTTTGGTTCGCCCTGATTTTATGCATACGTTCTCATGTGTGTGTGTGTGTGTGTGTGTGTGCGCGCGTATAGGGAACGTGCAGCGTGTCGGCGGTGGGCACGGTGTCGTGCTTGTGCCCGCGCGCGTGGAGCGGCGAGCAGTGCCAGCGACCCGCCTGCGAGGACGCCGACTGTGCCACGCCGCACTCGCGCGTCCCCGCCCCGCGCCACGAAGAAAACGACACGCGTAACCTGAACGACACCACCACCACCACCACCACCACTACTGAGACCGACAGTGAGTTACTTACCACCACGTTATTTCTTAACGACAAAATTTTCATTCCCACCTCATTCGGATAGTTGGCGCTTCACCACTATATGCCTTTCAAGACACTTTTTGCCTCGCAAAATCCGTGGAACAACTTATCGTCTGCGGTATTGTCCGACCTTTAAAAATTTAAGAAAAGAACGTACTCCTTTCTAATATTATGATTCGCAACGCGATTATGATTCCTTAGTAGCAGGTTCATGGACGTTTCCTCTTCTATGAAAAAAACAGCAGTATTGTGTGTGAACTTGTACTTAAAATTCCTTTTATACCTGTATGCGATACCTGTATCGCCTTTGAGGAATGATTGCTTTTAACGAATATCGCCTTGAAGACGATACAGGTAGTTTTTCCGACCTCGACTCACTTTGACCACCATCAATAAATGCACCTTTGTAATGGGGGACTTTACGCTAAAAGTGGGAATACAAGATTTTGGGTTGACTTTTATAGAACACAAGCCCTCGTTCGGCGCCTCACGCCTCCAACGGTCGAGTTAGTGCGGACACTGTGTAATGCGTGCAGGCGTGCTCCGTCATCCGTCCTTCTGTTTAATCTCCTTAGTACATGTAACATTTTTGCATTAACATGTGTGAGCCAACGCGATAGCCCATGTGTTCATAACTGGTAAGAACCGGTTTTAATTCAATGCCTATATTGTGTTGATAAATATACGTTTACATATTCTTGACTCTTGTAATAAAATTATAGTATACGTTATAGTTAAAACGCGCTCAAATAGCGAACCCAATTTAAAAGTAAACAGTCTTCTTTCCATCTCCCGGCGTCATCTTCAGACCCTCGTTACCAAGCCTAATCTGTTGAACTCTTTAACCCTTATATTTTAAATTATATTAAAGTGTTATGCAAGCTACATTTCTACATACAAAGTTTTATTAGTTATTTAATTAATTAAGAGTGGAGCCATTAAACATTAATTGCAATAACTACACAAAGCGACGACACAGAGCTATATTCTATTAACTACTCACAAGTTAATTCGCAACCTCGTTTCTTTCAAGGTTCAATATTAAAATGGTTTATTGCAAATATTAATAATATAAATAATTTTTAATTACAACAAATCTACAAATATTTTGTTCCCGTGACCACGTGACGTGCTGTCTATTCATAGTTTTTATATGTGTGGTTTTAATTTCAGACTAATTAACTCGAGATCTTCTGATTGAAAACAGATAAATAGATTGATAGACAGCAAATGTACGATAAAATACAATATTGAGTAGCGGTAGGTACAATAGGCGGTCCTATGTTCTATAGACAACCTTTGAGGGACTTTACTGTAATAATAAGAATAATATTCGATTTGTATAACACAGCATGTAGAACAATCGATATTTATTTAAGTGCATCTCTACACATGTACATGTATTATAGGCAACATCTAGAAATGATGAGGTGGAACACATTTTAGGTCATATCTTGCTTCGACAATTGAGCAGCATATCCAAGCGCCAACTCGAGCCTAACGAGGTGTACGTGTGCATCGATTCGGGACGCACTATACGTCATGTGCATGCAAACTAAACTAATTGACGCGCTATTTGATTGTGGTGATTAACGCGTGGACGTGTCGCTCGACTTGAACCACCACCATCAGTGAATGTTGAGATCATGAGACAGATAGAGCACTGTTCTATATTCGCACCCGGCTGACGGGACATGTAATATCTGCTTGCGATCAACTTTCGATCTCGCAACTGTCATATGCAAAGGTATTTCTGTAGTAAAATAGTAAAGTATTACTAAGCGTAGCAAATTACCGATTCAATTTTTGGTTACATTACGATATAATTAAATTCCGTAAACGTTGGATACTTTACTACCAAAATGCCTTTAATGACAGTTGTGAGATCGAGAGTTGATCGAAACCGAATTGAGACCGAACTTTTATTACTACAATTGGCTTTTTGCTCTGAACGTGCTTGAGCTATTGCAGTTCCCTAACAGCAGAAGGTCAATTCTCGTAAAAAAGTCTTCAAAATTCCGTTCTGATCTATTCTCGACCTCAAAAATGTCATAAAAGGTAGGTAGTCTCGTAGCAAAGTATTAAACATCCAACGTTGACTGTAATATGATTGTATTGTGACCTACAGTTGAATCGGTATTCCTCTAGTCTCAGTTATACTTTACTACGAGAATTGACCTTATGATCGCAGATGCACTTCAGTATGACGTGATATATGCAATCTTACAATATACATATACGTGAAATCAAACGTATTAAAAGTGCGTGCTGCTTCTTAAAAGTGATCACAGGCCGAACAATAATTGTTAAGTTGAGGTCAACGTGTTTTAATGGACGATATTCAAGTGTTTACCAACACAATGATATCGCGAGTCACGACTAGCTGATCTTAAATAATAAGTAAAGAGCCATTAGATATGTTAAAGATATGATTGTGTGTGTACATTTCGTGCGAACCCGTAAGTTCGCGTGAGATCTTTTGTTCTGTCCTCCACACAACACAACAACGCATAATCTCGAGCAAACTCCCTGCCTCGATCACACATTACACATGTTAGCGGTTCTTGTTTTAGTGTACACTAACAAAAAGTGCAAATAGCCGTAGTGCCTGTACGTGTATAGCTAAGTGGGTTGCTTTGTTTATGATGTTGAGGACATAAATATTTTATACATCATGTAATAAAATTAGTAAATGAAATAGATTCACCGAGAAGAAGGTCTTGTTGCGGTAAGAGTGGCGTTGTTCTAAATCCATTACTAATTCTTTTAATGTGGTTCAAACAAGTCACCGTCTGTTTTGCGACGAATCATATAATTGTTAAATCAAAAGGTTTATGCACGTTTGTATGTAGAACACTTATTGTACATAAAACATTAAAAACAATTTATGTACAAATAAGTCATGTACAAAGGCAAAAGGGATGTTTGCCTTTGTACATCACTTATTTGTAGGGGATCTCTTCTAGTTATGATTTAAAAGTCAGACCTACTTACTATAAGTGTGTATACTGACACCAAAATAACTATTTAATTTATAATCCATTTCTAGCCTTAGTTTTCGCAAAAGCATCAACGAAATGGTTAAATCTAGGCTTGATGCTTCGTTGTTCGCGATTGATATAAGCGATAAATGTCGGAGTCGAGCTTGACCCTTAAATATAATTTGCCAAAAGATCTTTCAGTTTCTGCAGAATTGACAGGAATTGAATGGAACAGTCACATTGCTGTAAATACTTGTGTTAGGTCGCAAACTAGCACTCCATATTTTCTTATTTTTCTTTACAGAGTTAATGAACAGTTAATGCCTTAGTTAATTCAGGTAGAAGTAGGTGGTAAATATAAGGAAATTAAAGGAAAAAAATCGGGAAAAAATAGTTTTTCAAAAATTATAATTATAAAGATCATTATTTATTTTATTATTATTTACTAATTTGCCAAATAAAAAATAAATAAACGGTAACTCTGACCGCCGGTATTACATTTAATTAGTGTAACTACTTTATTTATGATACATTCCAAAGGTGGGAGGATTTTTAGCAAATTCAAAACGAGGTTTGCCGGTCAGGGTCCGAGGCCACTGTAAGCTTAGCGGCCCGGTGCGCAACACCCTCTAGCCCTTCTGTAGCTACTCCACTGATACGGACCCGATGTGGATACTACACGGAAACAAATCCCACTTTTCATACGTTATATTTCTATTTCGTATATTAGAATTCGTAAAATAAGTAAACTTTAACTATTGGTGTTAAAGGCTAGGTTTATAACGTCTATAATTGACAGAGATTGCGAGGGCCGCACGGTGTTGTAGGATTCAAAGTGTTGGGCACGTAAACAGCAGCGCCGTGTTAAGTAAGAGTTACATCAGTGAGCACAACCTCCACAAACAGGTTTCGCGACCTCGACCTTGCGCACGGCGGTGTGAGTGTCGAGCGAGTGCGACCGAGGCCGACCCCTCCGCGGAGCGCGGCGAATGCACTCGCCGTGCGCACAGGGCCGCCGCAGAGCTAGAGCGTGCAGCCGCACACACGTGGCGACGCGACGACGTATCGATCTCGTAGTCGATGATCCCTGTTTCGGTACAATAAGGACGGAGTGAACTTATTTGTAACATTATTTCACACTCAACTTGTTTCTATGTAAACTATTTCGTAAGCAGTTTATCGTTAAGCGGGCACCTCGCGGGGCATATCGTTCACCGTCGAGTATGCGCTGGTAGCTCTCACTCTCTTGACGGTGCAGACCGAGGGTCGACCGAGGTACAGGCGGTGAGTCACCGGCGCGCGGTGGCTGGGGCTTACCCGCCTCCAAATTGTCCACACGTGTGGGAATACCGCGATCTCTGTCAGATTCTCAACAGATTGTCCGTTTTCCTCTTACTAATAATAAATAAATTACGAGAAGTCGCGAGCCGGATGCTCACTCTACGACGTAAATCCACATTGTTCGCGGTCCGTCTACAATACATTTTATTTAATATATCTACATATATTTTCTTGTACAATATATAACTTATGTGCTTTTACGTTTAGCTCTAATCGCTTGCCGTTGAATACCCTCAGGTTGGATTAAGCTCGCTTCTTTACCAATAAAACATATTTACTAGGCAATAATATAAGTATTTCGCAATTTTATTTCCTTTGCAATACTGCTTTGGTAACCGCGCGCCTGGCGACTGACCTTTGTAAAGAAGCTAATAGTGACGCTTTGCCGCGGTCGGTAGATGTTTGCTACACTCGCTCATACATAACGATAAAGATTTCCGGTAATGGTAATGAAAATGTTCAAGTACCTAACTAGTTACAATATAGTAGGTCACTGCATTTCACACTCTTGCACACTATGTTTTGTGTTTCAACGGAAGTATTGGTTCCCTGAACTATTTTAGATTACAGAAATATTTAAAGACATAAATGGTCTTGTGACAGAAGTAATTAGAACAAGTTGCTGCGAGCGGGTCCAGGGCGCTTGCTGGCGTGTCACTTGACACGACGTCGTCACTGAAACTTTAACACCTGTGTAATATTCTATACGTCGGCCCTAATCGTGGGGTCAATTTTAACGCATCAACGTCATTATTTTAAATCAAGAAATAGTGATGTTGTATTATCGCCGCGCGCCGATTAGTATGTCTGAAGTGCGTATTGTATAATAAATTGGTAAATTTAAAAGGGCTAAACTAAGTCGTCGTTAGTTCTTAGAAAACGATCTAATGAGTGATTTTGAAGCGCTTTACATTGTAGTGACGCAACCAGGTGACGGCACCGTGTCCGTGCGGTGCGCGGTGGGCGGTGGACAGACTGTGCAGTTACAGCGAAGTGGTAGAGCGCTAAGCCCGCGCGCACTAGAAGATCACGCGATCTCATTGTTTACATAAACCAATTTTAGCTCAACTTAATGTCAGGGTCATATATTTTACACTTAGCAGGGACTCTGTCTTTGTTCGCACACCGGAACAATTGTGATCTTGGCTCTGAGTTATATCTTGAAAGGTTGTACTCGGTGAGGTGGTGAGATAGTTTAGTGCAGTCGGTCGATTGATGTCAGTACCGCATTCAGTTATCGCTATGGACAAAGGGAGGAGACGAAACTGGCGCCGTCGCCGTGGTGAGTTACCTCCGAGTTAAGATATTTGCGGACACCCTCTACCATCCATATATCATCGGCCGTGCCTGTCTTAGCTTAGCACTTAACCGCCGGGACAAGTGTGTGCTTATAATATCGAACCGAGGCATGTATATAGCGGGACGCTCACGGAACGGATCACGAAAGTCGAAAGCCCGTGTTCCGGTACCTACGTACACTAGTTGTGGTTCGTTCTCCTAAAGAGGATGCGCCTGAAGCACGATCCCTTGTGTGTTCTGTCTGCACTTGATCCGCTGCGTTAGACCGACGCAAGTATGGACCGACCACAATATTGGTTACATCGGAAATGAGTAGGTACGGATCAGGAATGATATTAGTGGGAAGACACTCGTAGGATACGAGGCAGATGCGATCTACCAATGTATTGATTTGTGCCAACACCTGGAGCGAAGCACCAGTGTGATAGGTCAAGGTGAACACAAGAACATTTTGATATCATTAGATCAATGTCAATCGTTAACCGATTAGAGGTAGTCATTAAATAACGAATAAGTGATGTTTGTATTGTAAAGAGGAATGAGGGCGCAAGAATGTAAGGGTGCAAACAACCGGCGCAGCGCGTCGTGTCGCTCTCATCGCGAAATATGTAACGTTTATATTGAAGGGCCTGTTGGTCTAGTGGTTAGTGACCCTGACTGCTAAACCGGAGGTCGTGGGTTCGATTCCCACCCAGGACAAATATTGTGTGATGAGCACGGTCATTTGTTCTGTGTCTGGATGTAATTTATCTATAATATGTATGTATTTAGAAATATATAAGTATGTTTATCAGCGGTCTGGTTACCATAGTACAGGCTCTGCCTAGTTTGGGATCAGACGGCCGTGTGTGAGTGTGTGAGATATATTATTATATTATTATTAATTATTTGATTTAATTAATGGTATCACAAAACAATCTAAGCAATGTTACAATTAAATATTTATATATACATATATATATATGTATGTATGTGTTACTCTTCCATCATGGTCTTTGGTACAGAAGAAATTCAGCCGGACATATTGTATTGCAGAGGCCGATACCGGCGAAACGAGCGAGGGGTGCGCGTGTCAGAACGGCGGTCACTGCGTGTGGACGGACCGGGGCCGCGCCTGCGTGTGCGCCGGCGCGTGGGGTGGGCCCACGTGTGCGCTGTACGTGGGCCACGACCACGCGTGCGCGGCGCGTGCCTGCCCGCCCCCTGCGATCTGCGTCTGGGGCCCCGATAGTGAGTTACGCCCACCCTCCTTCCTACCGTTACATTCTTTATGCCGCCAGTAATAAACCCCCATTTTGTGCTACGTCCACAGCTAGCGGAACAAAGGTGTACTGCGCGTGCTTAGAAGGCGCGTCGTGTACGTCACCTCGCGCCCTTCCCCAGCCCGGTGTTGTGGCGGGAGGCACGTCGGCAGCTGCGGACGCTGGAGGCGCGTGGGCCGGCGCGGGGCTGGCCCTGCTGGCTCTACTGGTCGCCGTGCTCGCTGCGCTCTACGTGCTGCACAGGCGGAGACAGTACGTATTTATGATGCTTTTTGCGCCTTCGGTAAAGACAGCCCCGTAAAGGTTATTAGAATGTAATAAGTAATAAACGTAACGTATGCAATTGTGTAGCGGCGCGTTTGTGCACGCGCGGTTGGCCGACAACGTGGAGATCAACAACCCTATGTACCTGGCGGGCGAGGACGAGCTCGAGCCGCACGCGGAACACTCGCACACGGTGAGTACCACGTTCCAGGATAGGCTAACGAATATTTACTTTATGCACGGGCATAGTACTTGCCGAGTGTACGGAGTATAGAACCGTACCGTGTCGTATCTCGACCCGAGTGGACCCGGTAGCCGGAGATGGCAAATAGCTGTTGCAATGTTTAGCGGCGCCGTTGATAGTAAGTACAGTAAATATATTTGTGGTGATAACTTTAAAGCTTTGCGAGAACATTTATTTTCTTTAGTTTCATTACTGCCTTAGTCGAGAACTCGCCGCAATATTACGCCTGGTGACCGGCATGTTGCCCTCGACCTTGACTCATATGTTTACTCGGCGTGTTTCACAGAACGGCGGAAACCACTTCGCAAACCCCGTGTACGAGAGCATGTACGCCGCGCAGCAGAACAACCCTGGCGGTTCCATCGCCGAGGTAATGACCACCCATCCCGCGCAGACCCGCTACGTGCGCCTGCGCCGGGAGACCTCCATATCCCAATGCGAACGGAATGTCAACAGTTGAACCCCCTCTGCACTAGCATAAGCTTATTGAATTACAGCGTTACACTGAAAAGTTCAACTTTGCAAATAAATAAATAAATTTATTGTAATTTATTAACAAATAATACAAAAAGTACATATCAAATAAACTTTAAATTGTCAGGTTTCGTAAGGATACAATGTTAACGACCGGTTCTCGTAATGTGCCCGGCGACGTGTGCGGCGTATTGCTAAAGGTGAGCCGACAGAAGGTCATCGCTTGGTTTTTACGCAGCGGCGGATGTCTTAATGACTATTTTAATACTTAATTTTGAAAAATGTGTGCGCGCTGTTTATGGAGTTGCTAACCATGCACGTTTTTCGATCGATTTTAATGTTGGCCATGTTTTTAGGAACACAAGAAGAATTATCATTTAAACTAATTAACAATATATTTATGTTGTACAAATATAATTAATTAATATACGACATACGAAATTACAATAACAAAACTACATATTTAGCGATTAACAGTCTACTGTAGTCCATCTCATCTAAGAGGTACCGTTTGACGTTTCATACTTTTCAAGAGGAAACAACTTTGTAGAGGCGTAACTCACACAATTTGAATAACCTTTTCGGTAAAACCATGGAATTATGAAGCTGCTTTATTTTAACACAAGATGTATAACTCTTAATTACTAAATTCAAATTTAAATCTTTAAAACAAAGCTAAGAGAACAAAATATACAATAGATAGCTTTTTTAATACTTCGTTTCAAAGTCACGTAGTTAGGTCCTTTACCGTAGTGTTGCGACTCTTCAAATTTACATATACGAATAATCGTAAAAATGTAGGAATCGAATTTAGTAATAACGAGCAATTTTCAATCCAGGCACCTCTTAGTATTTAATAATACTTAAAATTCAGCTCACATCCAACTGTCAATGAAAAGGCATAAATAAAATTTGAAATATGTAAGTTAATGTAATTTTAAATTAATCTTTGTAGGGTAGGGTATGATAGAACTGAAAAGCAATTACTTACACACATTATATACTAAAATATACTAGTAAAGCGTAAGATATAATAATATAGAGGCGTTTACAGTAACACACATATTTATGTAAAACTGTAATCGATTAGTAAATACAAAGAAATGATATCGAAATGTATTAAAAATTAGATATTCTCCCTATTCTTCAATCTGTCCAAACTGTCAAACGGTATATCTTAGATTAAATGGACTATAGCTACGTCCCGGCTTGCGGTTGTCATTTGAACTGAATAGAGTTCTCTCGTAAGAGCAACAAGAGCCTTCTCCCCTTGGTCAAGTTCAGCCTATGCCCCTCTTATTCCATGGGTCCCGTCGTGGTCCATCCCCCGGCGCCTCAATCGTGGTCAACTCGGTAAAAAACTTAGTATGGCCAGACTGAGCAGAAGAAATGAGGTAGATACCGCTACTAAAATCCTCAGTTTTAATCTTATAACGGATAAAAGATGGATTTGTGACAGAAGTAACCCATTTAAAGAAAATAAGAAAATCGGTCATGCCGACAAACCCGTGCCATAATGACATACATGGCATTTATTCTGGCTATCGAACCTCCAAATTTCATTACAAACGTAGGATTTGTATATTTTTTTTTGTGAATGGATAACAGGTAGGTAGTAAGTAGGTACTCTGTAAAAGTTGTACACAAGGATACACTGTTTTACTGACGTATGTGTGTAGGGCACGCCAGGTCACCCCAGGCCGGAGTCCTCAGAGGACCTACCGTCGGCGATGACACTAGAAAGATTTATTTCTTGCATATTTTTTATTATTCCACTAAAAACTCTTTTAGGTAATTTAATGCTTTTTAATTTGACATAATTAAAAAGCCTGTGTTTGATTTGTCAATCAAAGCAAAAAAGATTTTTTAACTTTGATAATCAATACCTAAATAATAAATAACCTAGGAAATAATTATCGTATAGGAAATCAAAGAAGGGTTTTGAAAATTGCACAACATTCTCTATGAGATACCATAAATAGCTTTTGATAAATATTTTTTTTCGGAGCTATAACTCTTGCAAAAAAGATAAAAATTCGCATATTTAAGGATATTTGGATCACATCACATCATCATCACATCATCAGCCTGTAATAGTCCACTGCTGAACATAGGCCTCTCCTTAGAAAGGAGGTTTTGGCCTACTATACCACGCTAAGCGAGAATTAACTGTGCAGGCTCCGATTTTTTCTTTATTCGTGTTGTCGTTCAGCGTTCGTTACGAGCTCGTGAGAGACGAGGTCAACAACGGAACCGAGCACGATAACGATTCTGATAAACGGACGGTCGCTCGGTCGCATCGACTTACGAGTACAAAGTAAACGGTCGTTAGCGACGGCAGAGCGCGAGTCATACGAAGAGTAGCCTCGAATAACGAACCGAACTCGAGCTGTAGTGTGCCGCTCGTCCCGCAGGAGCACGCGAACCTACTGGCGGGCGCTCCGCGCGCGGGCTCGCCGCCGCCGGAGCGCGCGGCGCTGCTGTGACGGCCACGCGCGGCGCCGCACCTGGCGCCCGCCCGCCGCCGCCGCCTGCTCGCCGCGCCGCAGCGCCCGGCCTCTCCCGGCGCCCTCGCCTGAACCGCTCGACTCGCTCCCTCACACCTGTACATGTATATTCTTTGTGTTTGTATTATCAGGGGTGCCATTGCATTGCCATGGAACATTTGTAAAGTGGCTCTAGTCCCGATGGCCCGGTCTCGTAGATCATGATATTCTGCCCGAGGAGCTAGGACGAAGCTAACGAGCGACAAAATATCATATTTTTTTTCTACGTGAGCGTAGTGCAGATGCGTTGAGACATATCAGACTTCGAAAACGTTTAACACAGTTTACTCGGTAGGTGTATAGCCCCACTCGCTAACTACCCGCGTATTCAATCAACCGTTATTTATTTTCACTAAATGTTCTTTCGTTCTTACTTCTTCCTTGCTACGACCGAGCCGCGATCTATGAGAGACCACTAGCCGATCGCTAATATGTTTACGTTTCTGACGGTTTCATAAGTTATGTCAAAGCGAGTGGTAAATTCTCTCGTGTGGTAAGAACGATATCTGAAGATCGCGCGCACAGCGCTAGTCGCAGTTTCAGGTGGATAAGTCACTCGACGACGTGCCATAGCCACGTACATGTCTGTGAAGTGGTTTGCATCGTTGTCCACTGAATAGACATCGACCGGTGCAACGGTCGAGTCGAGGGACAACTTGAATATAATATTAGTTACAAAAATGAAGGGAGCCACGACGTTTCCAGAGCGAAGTGTAAAACTAATTTTAATTACATCAGAGGGGCTAGTGTGAGTTTATTTCACATCGATTCGATCGTCTCGGTGACCGCGTTCGGCGTCTTGATCGGTGAAGAGTTCAGTGCGGACCAATCACAGCGCCGGACGCGGTCACGCGGGCCAATCACAGCGCCGCACGCGGTCACCGCGACGATCGGGTGCAAGTTAAATAAACTTACACTAGGCCCTCTGGTCTGAACTACTGACGCATCAGTGTTAGTTGCCTACATAGCTTTCTTTGTCTCTCTCTCTCTTTCATCTTATGCTATGGATAATGAAAAAATATTTGCTGCCTTTAATTGAATAGTGACAATCCCTAGAAACAATCCCACGCTGAAGAGAATGCAAAGACATTGAAAGTGAGCTCCTTTTAGTTCAATATCACGTTCTTTGAAGTGGCCTACTTTCTACTTTAAGTTAATATTAGACAAACCGCCGAGCTGTCGCAATATAACACATATTTGCTCATTCTAGATAAGATATTCGCGCATGGCCAGTGTCGTCGGTTCTCATGATTTAAAAATAATATCTCTCACTTGTATCAATTTTACAAACCTACAATGCATTGGCCACTGAAAACAATAGAGCAAGTGATCACTGAGGTGCTGTTCTAGCAGCTAAAACACGCTCACATCTACTAATGAGTGTATTGTGTCATGTAATGCACGGTCCTTCCACAACTAGGTCGTATTTTAAGTTTATAATTTATTTACTGAATGAGTCACTTGTGCAGCCTAGGCGTTGTATATTAATATTGAAGGCCAGTTCAGACGAGGAGCAGCTCAGACGCAGCCCGAAGTGTAAATCCTCCGTTGCCAACGATACCGCTAACCGCGTGTTATTTATTATTCATTTTATTTAAGGCAAACCAACAACTATGAGCCACCATTTCAGGTATCACCATATTTAACAGAAAGCCAATTACAGGATTTTCGAAATATGCATGTATTAATTATGGGCAGCTTGAATTGACATTGCGTTGTGCAAATTATGTGATTTTAAATTATATTTTTGTAAGAATAGAGCACATATTTAAGTTGAAATAATTACGGTCTTGACGATCTTATAGATATATGTATTATGTACCGATTGTTTGTGATTAAAGAGGCAGCTCTCTGTACGAGGAGTTAGGCCAGTGGCACTGTCGCACTCGCCCACCTCTAATTGTGATATCAAACTTGGGACAGGGGAAAACGAATGAAAGTGTAGTTAATACGTCATTAATAATACTTATGTAAATTGTGCCAAATTATTGTGATTTATTAAAACGTATTGTTGTTATGATGCTCATATCGAACTTTATAAAATACAAGTAGACCAATGTGACAGGCATGTGTGGCACAATGTGACTATTATTTTGCTCAAATAGCATGTGACTAATCGAAGAACATTAAGCGACGAGCCGGCCGTTTGAGCCGCGCCAATCAATTTGTAACAAATCACGCCGAGGTCACCTCCTAACGAGTACAATTCTCGCGTTTAGCTCTAAAACATTTACAAGTAATTAAAGTATGTTTCCGTCGTTCATCACAAGACTGTAGAGAACGTGTAAGTAGATGTAAGTCAACCAGTTTTAGTAATAAAAGTAAATCTTTCAATCGAATTCTGTTTGTCATTTATTATTTGAGCCCTAATCAGACCCTACCCTACTCCTACTGCCTTATCGTTGTACATGTATTGCGTTAAGTCGATCAGTATTGTGTCGTGATGGTGAGGGAGTAGTGACTACCGCCGCCCACGAACACTTGACACGCGAACTCAACAGTCACAAGGCGTTGCCTCCCTGTGAGCCTCCTCCCCGCCCACAATCAGAGCTCGCTCGTTCGGTCAAAAGCTACCAACGAATTGCTTAATACCAGTGTCCTGTGACCTGTGTGTTAGCGCATTCCACGCGCATCACGTACGGTCAGCAACAAAAGTCAATGAACAAATACTTATTTACAAAACACCTGAGCACTAAAGCGGGCCAGAAATCACTTGCCAGAGTAGATTACAGAATAAGGTTATCAACTCAACATGTTACAAAAAGGCTAAACATTAATATGCTATAAAATTCCTGAAATTCGTGGATCTAAAGGAATTTCAGCAAGTCGGAGGCCATGGTGTTTCATGGCCCCGACGTGCGCCGGCGCCGGGATCATACATCGTGGTCAGCGGGGCCCGGATAGCTGTCGAGTCCACCATGAAGTATCTGGGATTGGTGCTCGACAGCCGATGGGAATTCGGGCCCCACTTCCGGCGGCTGGCACCCAAGCTGATGGGTTCAGCGGGCGCGCTTTTGACGTTACTTCCCAACTTGGGGGGCCCGAGCGCCGCCTGTAGGTGGTTGTACGTGGGAATCGTGCGGTCCATGGCCCTGTATGGGGCCCCTGTGTGGGCGATGGACATGACGGCCATTCTGCGCAAACCGCAGAAGGCGATGGCCGTCAGAGTCGTCGCACGATTTCCTACGAGGCGGCTTGCGTCCTGGCCGGATCCCCGCCCTGGGACCTGGAGGCGAAAGTACTCGCGTCATTATATCGATGGCGCGAGGAAGAGCGGGCACGTGGCCCGAGGCCGGTGCAGCGGCATATCGCGCTGCGCCGAGAGGAGCTCCGTCAGGTCTTGGTGGCGGAATGGCGGCAAAGGCTTCTGCGCCCTACCGCCGGCCTCACTACCGTCGAGGCGATCCGGCCAGTACTCGACGACTGGCTCGGGAGAAGGCACGGCTCCCTGTCGCTTAGGGTGACGCAGGTGCTGTCGGGGCACGGCTGCTTCGGCAAGTACCTGTGCCGCATAGACAGGGAGCCGGACGCTCGGTGCCACCACTGCGTCTATTGCGGGGAGGACACGGCGCAACACACGCTCGCCGAGTGGAGGAACAGCGCCGTGTCCTCACAAATGAAGTAGGAGGCGATCTGTCGCTGCCGGCCGTAGTGCGCAGGATGGTTGGTAGCGCAGAGTCGTGGGACGCGGTGGTGTATTTCTGCGAGGACGTGATGTCGCAGAAGGAAACTGCGGAACGGGAGAGGGAGATCTCGACTCCTTTCCCCGGCCGCAGAAGGCGCACCAACACCCTTTTCCGGCCCCCATGAATGGGTCCAGGGGCGAGGGACTTGGAGAAGTCCCCGCCCCCTATTCGATGGACCCGAGGCGGATCTGGACTCTGAGGCGATGCCCGGGGTAGTTAAACACCTCACTACCCTGTGCAGGAGACGAGGCCCGGACAGACCGGACCAGCACTAGTGTGGGGCTGCGGAAGAATTTAGATTCCCGAGGCCCCGCGAGCACGTGTGAGGGGACACCGGGGTGGTTAGGTTTTTTTTTTGTATGTTTGACTGGATTCCTCTGACATGGGTGCTCAGAGATATTATCAGCCTGACATGGACGGGTAGGTCCTTACTCTGCATTGGGGAGCGTCTAGCAATAGTGCTAGACGCTTTCCGCCTGTTTTTTATTGAGTGTAGTGTGGTGTTCGTTTTTTATTGCCAATGTTTGTGTTGTTTTTTATTTCAACTGTGTGTAATATGCTTTATTTTCATTTATTTTCTTAAATAATTTTACAGCTTTAATATAGTAAAACCAGATTTATCTAACTTATTTTATACATATCTATCTATACTCATACAATTTATCTAGGGACACTTATACAATCCAGGTCGCTTACATTACATTAGTATTTACATTACATTTTTACTATTCACTGTACTATGTCCTTAATTGCTACCTTAATTAATATTGCCTTATCTTACTCATTACATAATAACTTGTATATACGAGTACACTAGTATAAACATGAATTATTAAATTGCTTAGATCTTGTTCTTGCCTGCAACCATCTGACCTACCTTTTTGCAATATTGAAGGAATTCATATCGCACAGTGCTATCTTCTAAAATTTTACTTATGCTGTCTACGCTAATGGTTGTGTCAATTTTAATTTCTGTGTCTAATCTATGTCTTGCATACACCGGACACTCTAGCAAAACGTGCAAAACACTCTCTTCTATTTCCGGGTCACAGACGCATCCTGGGTTCTCTTTGCACTTAAATCGGTACAGGTACCCGGAAAACCCGCCATGTCCCGTCATGATTTGTACCAAGACAGGATCCAGCTCTATTTTTCGGAGTACCGTATGTGCCTTTACAGCATCCGGGAAGAAGGCTTTAGTTGTGGAACCTGTTTCAGCACTTTTATTTACAGTCAGTTTTTGTACTTCCCCAC